TCCTTTTCTGCTTTAAGCTCCCGTGTGGGCAGTGTGGGTAGAGAGACAGGAGAGGAGGCGGCTCAGGAGATCCCAGTCAGCGTGTGGGGCTGGCTGAGCCACGAGCCCTCGAGCAGGCCTGAGTGGACACACGCTGCCTGGGGCCAAGGGGGGCGTCAGGCGGGCTAGGTTGGGGAGACCACACCTGCTTCCACGGTGCCGCCCGGGGCTGTGGCAGGAGCCCCCGCTCCCCACCCTGAACTCCACGAACCCACCTCTTACGTCCTGCTGCCCAGCAGGCCTGGGGCCACTGGTGTGGGGACGGGGACACCTGCCGTGTCCCTGGGTTTCCAGGAGGCCCCTGGGAGGGCACACAGACACATGCTGTAGGACAGGACACACAAGGTATGTGTTCAGAGGCCTGTGGGAGGTGGGACTGGGCGGCAGTGGGCTGGCGGAAGCTCTGGGCTCAGCCCTGACGGCCTCAGGTGCCTCAGGTGCCATGATGTGAGTGCCAGCTGACGTCCTAGGATGGGGCCTCTGAGCAGCCGTGGTCCATGTGACCTTGCAGCAGCCGTGCCTGTCGGGGTCCGCAGCCAGGCGGCAGGGGCCAGGGCTCCAGCAGGAAGCGGGAGAGAAGGAGCCTGAGCGGCGATGGGAAGGAAGGGCGCCGGCAGCCCCGAGTTGGGCGCTGTGAGCACGGTCCTCCTGCGTCTGCAGGGACCTCAACACCTCGTCCTTCACGGACTCACCTGAGACACCTGTGGGCTCTCTGAAGCCTCCTGCTCTCAAGAAACGTGTAATCCTCTGCAAGCACTGGTTACGGTTCAGCTCTGACTGGGTGCCCAAGCCACACAGCAGAGGAGGAGGGTGGAGGCCAGGACCGTGGCCAGGCCAGAAGAGCAGTTATTAGACAAAAGGAGAAGCAGCCTGTACAGCTGTTGAGAAGGTTCTTGTTAATGCACTGTTTAAAGAGGAGGACAGCTGTTTATGTTTTTTATTTATTTATTTATTTTTGCTGTGTTGGGTCTTCGTTTCTGTGCGAGGGCTTTCTCTAGTTGTGGCAAGCGGGGACCACTCTTCGTCGCGGTGCGTGGGCCTCTCACTATTGCGGCCTCCCCTGCTGCGGAGCGCAGGCTCAGTAGTTGTGGCTCACGGGCCCAGCCGCTCCGTGGCACGCGGGATCCTCCCAAACCAGGGCTCGAACCCGTGTCCCCTGCATTAGCAGGCAGACTCTCAACCACTGCGCCTCCAGGGAAGCCCTGTTTATGTTTTCAATTGTGGTAAAATATACGTAAGAACATATACTGTTTCACCATTTTTAAAAGTGTACAACTCGGTGGCATTTAAGTGCTTTCACAGTGTTGTGCGACTGTCACCACTATTTCCAAATTTTTACTATCCCAAGTAGAAACTCTGTCCCCATGAAGCAACGACCTCCCCTCTCCTCCCCACAGGCCCTGGCAACTCCTAATCTAGGTATCCATTCTGGGGACTTCATACAAGTGCAATAACGTGTTATGTGTCCTTTTGCTACGGGCTTCTTCCACTTAGAATAATATTTTTGAAATTCATCCATGTTGTGATGTGTCAGTTTGATTCCTTTCTATGACTTGAGTAATATTCTATTGTAAAGGGACTTCCCTGGCAGTCTCGTGGTTAAGACTGCACTCTTCCACTGCAGTGGGCATGGGTTTGATCCCTGGTCGGGGAACTAAGATCCTGCATGTGGCATGGTGTGGTCAAAAAAAAAAAAAAAATTCTATCGTATGGATGGACCACGTTTTGTTGATCCATTCATCTGTCAATTTTGGTTGTTTATACTTTTTTTGGCTATTGTGAATCATGGTATAAAGACTGTTGTAACAAGTATCTGAGACCCTGTTTTCAATTCTTTGGGTCATATGGTACTTTGAACTTTTTGGGGAACTGCCATACAGTTTTCTACAGCAGCTGCACATTCTACATTTCCTACTAACAGTGTACAGGGGTTCTGATTTCTACACATCCTCACCAATATCTGTTATTTTCTGGGTGTGTGTGTGTTTTAATAGTCATCCTAATGGGTGTGAAGTGGTATCTCGTCATTTTGATTGGCATTTCCCTAGTGATGAGTGATGTAGAGCATCTTTTCACATGCTTGTATCTTCTTTGGAGAAATGTCTATTCAAGTCCTTTGCCCACTTTTTAACTGAGTTGTTTGCTTTTTTGCCATTGAGTTGTATATATTCTCCCTTTTTTCACTCTCTTCATAGTGCCCTTTGGTGCACAAAAAATAATTTTGAAGTCCAATTTACCTGCTTTTACTTTTGTTGGCTGTGCTTTTGGTGTCATATTTAAGAGAAACCATTCCCAAATCTAAGGTCCTAGAGGATTTACCCCTAAGAATTTTAGTTTTAGATCTTTGATCCATTTGAGTTAATTTCTACGTAGGGTGTGAGGTAGGGATCCAGCTCCATTCTTTTGTATGTGGATATTCGGTTGTCCCAGCACCTTTTGTTGAAAAGACTGTCCTTTCCCCCGTGAGTGGTCTTGGCACCTTTGTCAAATCAGTTGATTGTACTTGCAAGGGTTTATTTCTGGTCGCCCAATTATTCAGTTGGTCTGTATGTCTGTCTTTTTGCCAGTACCACACAGTTTTGATTATTGTAGCTTTGTAGTAAATTTTGGAATCAGGAAGTTTGAACTCTCCAGCTTTGTTGTCTTTCAAAATTGTGTGGTTATTCAGTGTACCTTGAAATTCTATGTGAAAATTTGTTTTTTTTTGTTGTTGTTGTTTTTGTAAAAAACACCATTGGGATTTTGATAGGGATTGAACGTATAGATTGCTTTGGGGGATAACTTCCATCTTTACAATCCATGGGTATGAGATATCTACTTATTTAGGTCTTTAACTTCTTTCAGCAGCATTTTGCAGTTTTCAGTGTACAAGTCTTTCACCTTGGTTAAGTTTATTCCTAAGTGTCTTATTCTTTTTGATGCTATTAAAAATGAATTGTTTTCTTAATTTCCTTTTTGGACTGTTCATTGTTAGTGTATAGAGATAGAACTGGTTTTTGTGTGTTGATTTTCTACCCTGCAATGTTGCTGAAATTATTTTTCTGTGTGGGTTCTTTAGGGTTTTCTACATATAAGATCATGACATCGTGAAGAGGTAATTTTCTTTCCTTTCTAATTTAGATGCCTTTTTTTTTTTTTTTTTTTTGCCTACTTGCTGTGGCTAGGACTTCCAGTGTTCTGTTGAGAAGTGGTGAAAATGAGCATCTTTGTCTTGTTCTTGCTTGGTCATCACCGCCAACAGCACGTGAGGCCCACCACCCCCTCTCTCTCTGTTCCTGATCTCAGAGGAAAAGCTTCCAGTCTTTGACCACCGAGCATGGTGTCAGCTGTGGGCTTGTTGCTACGGCCCTAGAAGTTTCCTTCTATTCCTGACAGATTTCCTTAAACTCCTGGATCTAGAAAGAAAAGTGTGCATGTATCTTTAAGTCTTTGAAGGACACCACAGGGCGGGGGGAAGTTACTGTGTCTGGCCTGGTCCTCTGGGGCCTGCGAGACTGGCTGAAATGCATGACCCCATGTGTGGAGGACAAGGTCCCCGCTGCCCAGGGGCTGTGGAGTGGGGGACGGCAGTGGGCGCAGAGCTCTCTCCTGGCTGCCCTGAGTCTCCCAGCAGGTTCCAGAAGAGTGGATCCTGATCTTTTCTAGCTTAACGATAGTTTTGTTGAGGGACTGACCCCCGAGTCTCCCCTGCCCCACCTTTTTCCATGCTGTCTCCAAAATTATGGTGTTGATATTTCAGACAGGGAGTGAAAGTTGTCATGAAGGCCCACTCCTGTGTCCCGAGGGGGCAGTGCAGCGCCTCCACCTCCCCGAAGAGCTGTTCTAGCTTTGGCGGCCAAGGGTCAATTTGAGGGCCAGCCAGTCAGCACGGGGACTGAAGCAGGTTAGCCCTGGAGGCCTGAGGAGACCCACCTCCCGCAGTGCATATGCAAACAATCAGAAACATCACTGACTGGTGTCCTCTTTTTCCCCCAGGATCTCTGGTAAGAAGAGTGAAAGCAAAGAAGCCAAGAAGTCAGAAGAACCAAAAATTCGAAAGAAACCTGGGCCCAAGCCGGGCTGGAAGGGCAAGCCGCGCTGTGAGAGGTGAGGGGCCGGGGCCGCGCAGCCCGTCGGGGCCACGCAGCCCGTCGGGGCCGCAGCTCCACGTGTGCTCTGCATTGCAGGGAGGAGCTGCCCACCATCTACAAGTGTCCTCACCAGGGCTGCACGGCCGTGTACCGTGGGGCTGACGGCATGAAGGTGAGGGCCCCGGCCCGTGAGGATGGGGGGGAGGCTGGACAGGCCTGCAGTGCTGGGATCTGTTCCTCTGGGGAGAGGAGGGTGCTGAGCGGGGCCTGTGGGAGGGAGGCACGTGCTGTGACCAGGGGTGTCCGCCAGGCCGAGGCACTCAGGTCCCCAGTCCCTCCCGCAGAAGCACGTCAAGGAGCACCACGAGGAGGTCCGGGAGAGGCCCTGCCCGCACCCCGGCTGCAACAAGGTGTTCATGATCGACCGCTACCTGCAGCGCCACGTCAAGCTCATCCACACAGGTGCGTCCCCCCCACCCGCCCCCGTGGACAGGGCTGCCTCCTGGGAAACCGGCGCCGAAGAATCCTGGTGCCTCTCTGTGGGTTTACTGTCGTGTCTTTTTAAATCACTACTTTAAGAAGATGACGTGTGCTTTTTGGATTACAAGTGACCCGCATCCGTTGTAGAAACTGGGGGAGGAAGCACAGTGAAGACAGTGCCCTGCCCTGGTCATCACCACCACCAGCACGTGAGGCCCAGCGCCCCCTTCTCTCTCTGAACGTGCGTTCATACCTTGGACTCTTACGTGCCTGGTGCGCGTCGTCGCTGCTTCTGCACAGAAGGCAGCTCTCCCAGACCGCACCCCCTTCTAGATAGATTTGTTCCATCTGTGTCTATGCCTAAGAGAGAGTTTTTCTTGTTTTGAACTTTGTAAAAATGAGTTACTTCACTCAGAGTTGACCGTTTAATTGTTGGCGCACATTTACTTGTTGGTTCCACAGCGAAACAGTTTTCCTTGTGTTTTTTTGCTCCAAGTGTTCTTGTCTGTGTCTCTAACAAACACAGTAATTCTCTTGGGTTGGGTCAAGCTGTTCTCAGTCTGGATGCCAGTGGTCGTGACCACAAGCAGTTTTTGTTTTTAACACAAAAGAGGCTAGATGTGTGCTATGGGGACGGTTGCCCCTAGTGAGGGAGGAGCCTGCCTGGGAGGCTGGTTCAGGTACTGGTAGATGAGCAGTGGGACGTGCAGTGACGTGGGGCGGGAAGCGTGTGGCAGCTGCCCCACTGGCACGGCCTGCAGTGGAACCACTGGCGTGGGGCGTGACGGTTCAAGTTCTGTTCAAGAGCGTTAAGATTGCCTTTGCAGTGGGTGCCCCGCAGAGGGCCCAGCGGGGCGGTGGGTCTTAGAGCAGCAGCAGCTGTCATCAGTCATCTATGCAACCTTGCTGATGTGGCTTCCTCTAAAAATTTGTGCTCAAGGAAATCGGCCTAAAGGGCAAGAAAACAGGCTCCAGGTGAAATGTACACAGTAGTTGGAGAGGAAGCTGCAGCCAGGTGACAATTTCAGGCGACCCGGAGGGCTCTGTATCAGAGCTGTGGCACCTGTAAGGCACTTGGGCACCGAGGGGAGGGTGTCAGGGCCTGTGGTCACTGCCTCTCTGGTCCCCAGAGGTGCGGAACTATATCTGTGACGAGTGTGGGCAGACCTTCAAGCAGCGGAAGCACCTCCTGGTCCACCAGATGCGCCACTCAGGAGCCAAGCCCCTGCAGTAAGTGGGGTGGGGGGTTGGGGGGGGGGTTCTCCCACCAGCGGTGCCCTGGCTCACCTGCCCCCGGCCCCCAGGTGCGAAGTCTGCGGGTTCCAGTGCCGGCAGCGGGCATCCCTGAAGTACCACATGACCAAGCACAAGGCCGAGACGGAGCTGGACTTTGCCTGCGACCAGTGTGGCCGGCGGTTCGAGAAGGCTCACAACCTCAACGTGCACATGTCCATGGTGCACCCCCTGACGCAGACCCCGGACAAGGCCCCGGAGCCCCCGCCTGGGCCCGCAGCGGGGCAGGCCGTGAAGGCTGAGCCTACCTGAGGGCACGCCCGCCCCCGAGCTCAGTGGGCAGTGATGGGGGTTCAGGCCTGACGGCACAGCTCTGCACCCCGACGAGCCTCCACCCCGTGTGCTGGGTGGCAGGGGCTCAGCACACAGCTCACGGGGCCTTGTGGCTTCTGCTCTGGGACCGGCAGTTTCTTCTATAAACAGAGTGACTTGGGGCCAGAGGCAGACTTCAAAGAAATGATTCCTCTTCCCCACTAATGCAGTCGAGGTTTGTAACCCACTTTTCAGGGCAACGGAGAGCTCCACGTTAACGCTTGTAATAAATTATTTACCGAGGAGTTGGGCTATGCCCTGCACAGATCCTGTCAGAAGAGTCGGGGCTCCTGGTAGAGGTCAGGGTCCAGCATGGCCTGCTGCCTGCTGAGGAGGGCGGCACGCACTTCCGGGTCACAGTCCGCACTCGCACCCAGCAGCTGCAAGAAAGCCCGTGTGCTGGGCCCATGCTGCTGCCCATGGCCCCCAAACACCCAGGGCCCGGGGAGACGCCAAGTGCTGGACGCTGCATGTTCGTTTTCCCGAAGGCGTTCAGCACCCTCACAGTGAACAGTGATGGGGACTTAAAGACAGACAGCAAGGCGAGCATCTGGGCATTACCTCTGCCACGTCTGAGAAGCTCCTTTTCGGGCACCGAGGTATCGACTGCAGCAGAAAAAGACGAGCGTTTGTAATCAGGCTTACGGGGTCGCCCTGGAGAGAAGACAGAGCCGCGGTCAGGGTGCCCACAGCTGCACGCTGCGCCAGGAGGGGCTGCACAGGCCCCCAAGAGCTGGCCGCCCGGGTCCGTCTGGAGACAGGCCTGGCCCTGCACCTGCCTGGGCCTGGAGGTCCCCACTGTGGGCCAGAGTCCAAACCGCGCCAGTCTCCCCAGCCACGAAGAGGCCCACGAGCTTCAGGTACATGTTAACAGCAACGTGCAGGAAGGCGTCTTCCTGGAGGAGGGCGTCCTCGTCAAAGTAGGACAGGAGGCTGAAAGCAGAGACGGATGTCAGGTGACCCGGCCCTCACTGACCTCACTGAGGCCGGTGCAGGCAGCAGAGGAGCAGCCTTTCCCATCTCAAGGGAGCCCCGCCGCCCCTCCCCTGACCAGCAGGCCCCGGGGGTTACCTGTAGAAGGCGACCGGCAGCAGCCTGACCTGGTGGTCGGGGGCCAGGCGGAGGAGGGTGCGCCCCAGGCCGGCATCTGCAACACAGAGGGGCTCCGTCAGCAACGCAGGTGCCTCCCTGCAGGGTCAGGGTCTTCACGGGCGTCGTGTGCCTGGTGACGCAGGGGTGATGTCCTCATGCTGCAGAGTAGAGCTTGGGGGCCGGGGTCCCTGGGATCCTCGATACTCCACTAAATTATTTTGCTTAAATGAGTCTGCATACTTACCAAGAACAGAAACTTGCAAAAATGAGTTTTCAAAGTGAGCCCCAAGGAGAGGCTCATGTTTAACCATCTGAAAGTTCCTTCTGAAGAGAAGGACTAAAGAACGGGGCCGCAGTCTGACCCTGCCGCCCCCTGTGCTCCCGGCAGAGGGCTGGGAACCAGGACAGACCCAGGTCGGCCCGTCGGTCTCCGGATTTCTCACCCGTCTCCGTCAACTGAAAGAGCGGCAGCCAGGAAATCCTCTTCCTCTGCAGACACCCCAGGACCTCAGCACAGACGTCCAGAGGCTTCAGGGAGCCAGCGGCCTGTTACCCACAGGAGGAGGAGAAGGACCCTAAGCTGACAAGTGCGCAAGGAAGAGGTGTCCACCTGGGGCCTCTGGACATAAGACACCAAGAGGCAGGCCAACGGCCTGGGGTTTTCTCTCCTGAGAAAGCCTTTGACACAAGGGTCCCAGGTGCACCCACCCCCACCACCACCATGAGACCCTAACTCAGGAGGTCTCGGGGGAGACGGGGAGACCCATGGTTTCAAGTGCCCTGGGGGGTCGTACCAGCTGCTCGCTGCCCTGCCCACGGCGGCAGAGGGTCTGACCTACCTGTGGGGTCAGATGTGAAGAGAGCAGGCCCATCAAGGAAAAAAAAAACAGGAAAACCAACAGCTGCAAATAAAAACAGGTCCAATGACAACAAAACTACCTGTGCTCCGTTCCCTTAAAGTAATTCTAAATGGGGAAAGAACACATTCCTCGTTAACTGAACAATTTACAGGCCTAGGTTATAAATCTCTCTTAAGTGGATCTCCAGAGAAAGAAAATTTTCCAGTCACTCTTAAAGAGAAAATGTAATGGGTTATAAACTATTACTGCTTGGGGACCTGTCTCTGCTGATCCCCCAGGCCAGAGCGTGAGGAGGTGACAGTGGCCTGGAGGCTCTGGAGCCGCTAGAATCCTTCCAGCAAAAACCACCTGAAAACTCTTAAAATAGACTCTCCCTGGCAGTTTCTTCCTTTAAATTATAATCACCAAAAACTCAGCTCAGCAACTGTTCTCAGGCAGGTGGGTACGGCCTGAGCTACTGCGGGACCCTGGCTTTCACAACCAGGGGTTCAGCTGGGGGAGACACAGGGGAGCACGCCACAGCTCTGGGTAGGGGGCCCTGGGGGGTCCCACAGCTCCCAGTGGGGCCACCAGCCTGCCAACCGAGCAGCCCTCTGTCCACCCTTGGTCTTTGCCAGCAGCTAACTGGGGTGCGGGTGCCTGGAGGCTATGAGAAGGAAGGTCCCGCTGGACAGCTGACAGCCAGCCCTGACCCCCCACCCCCGGGGTTGCGTTGATAAACAGGCCGAATAAAAGCACTTGAGAATGAAATGTAAAGTACCCTTTTTATCAACAAACCTGAGAACCTAAGTCTTACTAAACCTACAAACCCAGTAAGTTTTTGCTTCCAAATAAAGTTACAAGCACCCCAAACTCTTGTCTGTCCTTGAAAAGCACAGTGTGGTCGGAACCCTGAGAACCAGTGAGGCTGCTGGGAAAGGACACGCAGGGAAAGGATCTCACTCTTACCTCCTCTCCTTGGCCGTCCAGCTGCCCCAGCTCCCGCCGGATGCTCTCCTTCCCGGCCTGTCGAATCATAAAGTGCAGGGCAGCCGCGCAGAGCCAGGCCGGGCCAGGTGTGGGGGGTGCCGCAAGGGGGGAGAGGACGCTGCCGCAGACGGAGGTGTGTGTCACCACAAGAGCCCCCTGCCTGTCACAGCGAGAACCCAAAGCGCACCCCCCGCCCCCGGCCTCCCAACCGGTCTCCACAGGCTGGCCCTTGGCTGTCAACATGCCCCTCTGCCCCGGACACAGGAAGCGGTATGCCTGGAGGGGGCGCCCGGTCCCAGCAGCCTCAGCTTTGCAAGGAGTCCTCCCCCCAGAGTCTGCACCCGCCTTCTACTCAGCCCCCACTCCAACTGCACTGTGATGTTCACAGTTCTCCAGGTTAAAACTGGGCCGAAAGTTAAAAATGGAATATAATGCAGTGATTTAAGAAAGTTCTCTGCTCTTTGCAGAATTAGACTCAGTGGGCAGACTTGGTTTCTTCGTCTTCTGAGATTTCGAGCATCCCTGACCCTTTGTGGGGGGGGACACAGGTGCCTCGGATAAAAACGGGTCACAAAGGAAGATGCAGGGAGGCTGGATGGGGCCAGCAATCCCTGCTGTGACCTCCGAGGACAGCACCACTCGGATGTGCGAGGAGACGGGCAGGTGGACCCCGGATGCCAGTCTGACGGGAACGTGTCCGCTCGGCTCTGCTTCCCCCTTCCACACGTGGGCCTCACAGAGCCTCCCCAGGGCCCCCTCCAGCTCCCGAGACACCATGCACGTAACCCAGAGTGGGTCCCGCTGCCCGCACTCACCTCCCGGCAAAGTGCCGGGCCTCCTGCAGCCTCCGCAGCTCTGCAGGCAGCGGGCTCTGAGAGCATCTCCTCCAGCGGCGGTGAAGCTCGGGCTCCAGGTGCGGCCACCACAGCTCATGGGAGAGAACGGGCACCGACAGGTCAGTCCCCGCCCCCCACCAAGAAGATCGGGAAGCCTCGGGTGATGCTGGCGATCTGCGTGGGCAACGTCTGCCCGCAGGCCGACACCCCCAGAGCCTGTCTCCCGCTCATCAAGTGCTTCATAACCACAAGGACAGCGTCTCATTTAAGGTCCAAAGCAGCTCCGTGAGGCGTGCTCATCCTCATCCGCGGAGGATGCAGGATGTGGACAGAGGATGGCCCGGTCCTTGGACGGCCCTGCTGAGCTGCAGAGCCGTGAGCCAGAGGCCACAGCCGCCCAGGGAGCCAGCAAGGAATGCGTTGCGTCCTCCCTCCCGACAAAACTGAGAAGGGGTGAGAAAGCTCGCGTGGGAGCCCCACCCGTGGAACGTCACGAGAAGGCCGGGCCAGCAGGGGCTGGGGCAGCAGCCGGACCAGCAGAGCAGCAGTCCCCGCTCAGCTCCAGTCAGCACAGAGCAAGTAGGAGTGTGAACGGCTCCGGGCACAGAGACTCCCGAGGAGCCCCACCCCAACTCCTGTGGTCTGTCCCAACTGCTCCTGGTGCAGCTTCCCCTGAATCACGCTGCCAGGAAGCCCTGGGCGGACCCCGGCTGCGCCAGGTCCAGGAACGCCCCTGAAAAGATGGGGAGCCTACCAGAGCAGAGGTCAGAAGCAAGGGGCACTGGGTCTGGCAGGCAGTCAGGGTCAGGTCGGCTGCCAGGGAGGGGTCTCTGCTTCGTAAACAGGCGTTGAGGAGCCCCTGCGGGGAGACACGCCCGCACGCAGGGTTTGCACGCGGACCAGGGCCCCGGGAGCTGCCACGCACCAAGGGCCCAGCCCTGGGGTCTGAGTGAGCAGCGACGCTGGAGGGGCAGAGGGAAAGGAAATTACCCTGAAGAAGTGGGCCGTGATGTCGTGGGTCAGGGCGCCGTCGTGGGAGAAGTTTCTCTGCACAACAGTAGAGGCCAGTGAGGAAGCACGCGCAGGACAGGGCGGGCAGCTGCTGGGGGCTCCAGCACATAAGGACACGCGGCAGGATGGTACCGCCATGGTCCACGGAGGGCTGGCTCCGTGTGGCTTCGCGTCCACCCCCGTGCCCGCCAGCCGTGGTGCAAACCCCGTGGGCCCAGGCGGGCGGGCCAGGTGCCGTCCCTGCCGTGTCCTCCCTGGCTGCTTTCACAGGCCGTTCTCAAGGCTCGAAGGGAAACAGCCTTTAGAACGAACTTAAAGAAAATCTCATTTCTGCTGCTTCCCCAGTTACCTTTTAAAGTTCCACACAAATGAACAGAACCTCAGGTCAAGCTCTAGTCACGTGTGCATTTCTAGAAAGTGGGAACCCATCTTTGGTGTAGAAGCCGTTCCCTGCAGTGGGCAGGGGAGCACTTATGCACGGCACCTCCCTGACCCTGACCACGTGCAGGTCACAGGGATGTCACCCTTTGGAGCCCCTGACAAGAGCTGGGGCACCATCTGGCTTCCGTGCCCCCAAAAGAAACCGACGGAGGGGAGGCAAGGCGGGCAGGATGGTCTGCACATGCAGGGCCCAAGCTGGTCACCCTGCGGAAGGTTCCGTGAAGGAGTCGTGCTCCGGAGGACGAGGCTGCCCAGTCGCTAGCCTCGCAGGCCGGTGCTGAGCCAGGTGAAGGGCTCACCCGCAGCTCCGAGCGCCACGTCCTACCCTCAGAGACCCGGCGTGGGCAGGCAGGACATGCACTGAGGCGTTGGCTCCACGTGACCACGGATGCGCTGGTGAGTTTTCCAGAGCCAGCCTGAGGTGCCCACGTAGCCCCTCAACCCCACAGCCCAGCTCACTTGCCCTGCGCCTACCAGCTCCGAGTTGACCAAGTGGAAGAAGTCATCGCAGTCAGGGGCGGCCAGCTGCTCCAAGCGGGGGCTGCCGACAAGCACGGAGGGGGGCAGGCCGAGGAGGATGCTGCGAGGAGGGAGGCATGGACGGTGACCCCGAGAGCTACGCTCGGAGCGCAGCCAACCCTCCCAGCCCGCTCGGAACTGGCCCTGGTCTGCGGCCTGTTGCCCTGCTGGGCCGACGGACACTCACTGTGTGTCCCCAGACCAGGTGTGATGTTACACGATGACCAAGGGCAGGGAGCAGCGCGTTAACCAACCAGTTCACGAGACCGGGAAGGACATCACGGCTCAGCCGTGATGCAGTGAGGACCCTGAGCGCACATTCCACACGAGGTCTTTGAACTGAGGGGTTTCTGAAGCCCAGGAGGAGAACTTTCACCCCCCGTTGCTTTCACACCTCTAGACCCTGCTCTCCAGGGGACCCGGGGAAGATGCCGTCCCAGGCTGGGGCGGGGGCCAGAGACGAGCGACTAGTGGGAAGAGACCCCAAAGTGAAGACAGACCCTGGGGCACCAGCCGTGTTACCGTTTGCACATGAGCAGCTCCTGCTGTCGCTGCAGGCGGCTGGCCACGTCCCACCCTCGAGCCAGGGCCTGGAGGCGTCTGCAGAAAACTCCAAAGAGGAAGTGGCCCCGGGGAGCAGCATGGCCGAGGCGCGCTGGGCCCTGCTCCAGGCCAGCAGCCATCTCCTGAAGAGAGCACGGCCAGAGGCAGAAACCCTGGGGCCTCTCACTCCCAGCAGGGCCCCGAGGTGGGGCCAGCGGAGTGAGTGCAACTAGCCTTTTCACTTGGAAATGACTGAACAACTGCAGGATTTTGCAAAAATGAAGAAAGAACAGTGCAAAGAACACCCTTCCCCAGACTCCCCATGGCTGACACTTCACCCGTTTATCACCTGCTCCCCTGTGCAGGTGGGGGGTGTGCACAGCCTGAGGGTGAATCACACAAGTGAGGCGCGAACACAGCCTGCAGGCACACGTGTGCTGTCTCACCCCCCAGATGCAGAGCACCCGTCTCATCATCACCCCGTCATCTGTGACCCCAACCCCACGTCTCCCGCTGTGTCTGCCCTCACAGGTCACCTTCTTCCACGTTCAGTTATGACGGACGTGGAGGACAAAGGTCAAGATGAGGGCTTGGGGGACTCGGGTCCTTTCTCTGTGGGATGCTTTACTCATTTTTAAGTACATTTTCCCAGTGCTCCAGACCACATCCTCCATGATTTCTCTTTCATTCCCCACATGTTCTAAAGTCTGGCACTTTTTTTAAGAGTGACAGCGGGAACACCGAATCCTATTATACAGAATTGCACGTACTCTTCCAAAGTTACAGACCCCCAGTGCACACTGTGGACGAGGATGCAGGATGGGGCCTTGCTCTGCACTCTGACCCCAGAGTTCACGCTCAAGAGATCTGGGGAGAGCAGGATGCTGACAGAAACGCCCCTTTCACTTCAACGTGAGAAACACGGTTTCTGCACTCTCCTAAAAGTGCTCCTGCCTTGCTGCCAAGTGACCCGGGAGACGGGAGAGTCTCCCAGCCTCCGACATCTGCAAACTCCTGATCCTCGGCCAGGTGGAGGGTTATTTATGTCAATCCTCAGAGCCTGACCTCCCAACGCAGCACCAGGAGTTACAAAGCAGAGAACAGGAGTAGCAGCCACGCTGCTGCCAAAGTCAGTATCTTTACTTCCTGTTCTCAAATTTTAAACGTCCTAAAGCCTGGAGATGCTTCCCATATTACAGTTTTCGTTTCCGTGTTCCTGTGATGTTCACGGTGAGGTGAGTTCACAGAGCACGTGGCCTCTCTGGTCTAAGCCATTGTGTATGTGACTCAAGCTTTCGTTCTGGTCAGGTTCCTTAGGACTCACTGGATATTCATAATAAATATCTTAATAGCACGTGGCTTAAATGCAGTGGACACACCTGAGTTTTACATCTTCTAACTCACCTGCAATCTGGAAAAAATATCACGATTTCCTGTGCAGCCGCCAAGAACCAAGTCAGAATTCTCTGAGTGACCATAACTCCTTGAACTGCAATGAAAACACAGTGAAAGCCTCCTAATTGTCTCCTAACTGTGCTGGGCTGCCTGCTTCTCCTCCTGCCTCCAGAGTGGCCTGTGGTCACAGGGCCAGGACGTGCCCGGAGACTGCAGGACACTCACGGTGTGCCAACAACAGCAAAAAGCCAGCAACCAACTCAAGCAACACATCAAAACAATTACATGCCACGACCAAGTGGGATTTATCCCAAGAATGCAAGGTTGGCTCAACATGCAAGAATCAATTAATGCAATAAACATATGAGTAGAATAAAAACCAAAAACCACACAGATAAAGCGTTAAATTAAATGCTATACCCTTTCCTGATTTAAAAAAAAACAAAAAAAAAACTAGGAGTAAAAGGGACCTTCCTCAACCTGTCAAAGGGCATCTATGAAAAACCCTCAGTTCACACCGTTCTTAATGATGAAAACTGTCCTCCTAAGATCAGGACCAGGACAACTGTCCGCTCATACCACTTCCAGTCAACACTGCCCTGTCAAGTTCTGGCCAGGACAATTCAGCAAATAAATAAATCAGTACATATAAGGCATCCAGATTGGAAAAGAAAAAGTTAAACCATCTCTACTGGCAGATTTCAAGACCTTTCATATAGAAAATCCTAAAGAATTCACAATAAAAAACCATCAGAGCAAATAAGTGAAATTAAAGCAATGAGCCTATGGTGCTAAAAAGAATAAAATACTTAATAAATTTAATCAGGGAGATGCAAGAGTTGTGTGCTAAAAACTATAAGATATTGTTGAAAATATTAAAGATGACCTTAATAAATGGAAAGCCACCCCATGTTCATGGATAGGAAGATGGCAATGCTACCCAAACTGATCTACAGATACAATGCCGTCATTATCAGAATCTCATCTCGTTTTGCAGAAAGTGATAAGTTGATCCTAAAATTCAGGTGGAAGTGCAAGGGACCCAGAATAGCCAAAAAAAATCCTGAAAAAGGACAAAGTTGGAGGATTTCACATTTTCCAATTTTTAAAATTTATTTATTTTTGGCCATGGCACATGGCTCGTTGGAACTTGTTACCCGACCAGGGGTTGAACCCAGACCCTTAGCAGTGAAAGTGCAGAGTCCTAACCACTGGACCACCAAGAAATCCCCACATTTTCCAATTTTAAAACTTACTACAAAGCTATAGTAATCAAAATGGTGTGGTCCTGGCACAAGGATAGACATATAGGTAAGTAGAATAGAATCAGGAGTCCAGGAGTGAACTCTCACATGTATGGCTAATGGACTTTCCACAGGAGTTCCAAGACCATTCAACAGGGAAAGGGCAGTCTCTTCAACAAAAGGGGACAACTGGATATCCACATACAGAAGAATGGGGCCAGATCCCTACCTCACACCATATAAAAAATTAATGCAGAATGGATCAAAGGCCTAAAAATAAGAGCTAAATCTAAAAATAGATGAATAAGGCTTCTTCAAAATTTAAAACTTTTGTGCATCAAAGTACCCCTTCTAGGGAGTGAACCGATGACTCATGGAATGAAAGAAAATATCTGCAACTCATATATCTGGTAAGGACCAAGTATCTAGAGTATATAAAGAACTCTTATGACCCAATAAGCAAATAACCCAATTTTAAGTAGGCAAAGGATCTGATTAGACATTTGTCCAAAAAAGGTAACACAAATGGTCAACCAGCACGTGAAAAGATGCTCAACATCATAAGCCATCAGGGAAAAGCAAATCAAAACCATAATGAGATAACACGACGTACCACCTCGACACAGCAACCACGAGGACGATGAGAAAAACAGGCCACGTCAGAAGGCCACACCTGGCACAGCCCATTTGGTACCAGGAACGCCTGCCTTTCATGGCAGGCAGTCCACGCCAGTGCTCCCTGCACTGTGGGTGACAACACTGGCGCCCACCACTTGCTTGACCTTTTATTCTCATCACATTTGCTAATAACCCTGATACCAGGAGACAAAGCAGAAAGACCAGGTCACTGCCACTGGCAAATCTAGGCACAGAGAGAAAGCTGATTCCGGAAGCTTGCCTTTATCTCGAAAACCCAAACTTGCGATCAGGATATGTTCAACTGTGCTCTGTATAACACAAACTGGACTGAGAGAAATAAAAACGTTCTTAGAGCTACCAAAATCAAAAGACAGACTCTTCGGGGCACTAACATTCCTAACCTTTGGCAGAAGTCCATGAGCACGTCGACAAGCGTGGCACAGGCGACTTCCAGGTCTCCATCGCAGCCCCCGGTGGCAGAGGGCGCGGGGAGGAAGTGCTGGTGGATGGCCCACTGGTGGAAGTCCTGCCTGCAATGCAAATGCCAGGGTCTGTGCTGCGGGAGGCACGGGCCAGCGTCTGCTTCAGCCAGGGGTGACGGGGCTGCATGCAGGTCCACAGCTGCTGAGCTGGGGGTGGAGCGGGTGCCTGCACTGTCCCAGGCCCACCAGCAAAGCATCCACACATGGACCAGGCTCCGTGGTGCTGAAACCACAGCAAAGACAGCCACCAACACTGCAGTCTGTTCCTGCAGGAATAACAGGACCCAAGCAGGACCTCCCCATGTGACCACGAGGGGCAGGGAGCGAGCCGCCAAAGCCTGTTTGGAACTGCAATCAGGAGACGGAAGGAGGCCCTGAACAGGACCCACACCATCAACACACAGTGACCTGAGGGTGAGTTAAGAAGGGGTCCTATGGAGCCGCAGGCCAGAAAACTAGTTCCTTCTTTCCCTCCTGGCAAGGAAGGAAGTGCACAGGAGGCAGGCCGCGCACAAACCTGAAAGGTGGAAGCGCCCACTGAGCTGGGAAAGGAAGCGGGTCATCCCTCCCATTGCCCATCACTGTCCTTCCTTATTCTACTTGTTCCGTCAGATTCTGACACCACGACACAGCACCCCCGTGTTCAGGGACGTCTCTGACCACTCCAAGTATGGTGGCTTGAGGACAGCCACCTCTGGCTTCTGCACCCCCTGACCCACCCCCAAACCCACGGCCCGTCAGCACCTGCTCGAGGCCAGGATAGCACACCTGACGTCTTGGCGGTCTCAGTCACCAGCCCCGGGACTCACATGGGTCTCAGACTCTGATTCGCTCACCCCTGCTGCCGCGCCTCAAAGCCAGCACTCGGCAAGGCGCTGCCCACCCTCCCCTCTGCTTCCCTGGCCGGCCGACCCCAGCTGAGACCCTCCAGGGCTTCCCCACTGTGGCCCTCCCCACCCTCCCCTCTGCTTCCCTGGCCGGCCGACCCCAGCTGAGACCCTCCAGGGCTTCCCCACTGTGGCCCTCCCCAGGCGCAGCCTTCTCTGATCCTTCCCCGCCGGCACCAGCTCCCAAAGCCCCATCTGGTGTCTTCAGTGCCCTCTAATCCACCTTATTTATCACCCTGCCCGCCCCCAGGCTCACACAGGGCCCGGTTCTGCACAGTTCCTGTGAAGAACGGCTTAGGGGCGTTGGGGCAGAGTGCAAGTGGGAAGCCCTGTATGTGCCTCGTGTGCCCCATCTGTCTTGTTCACACTGCATCCCCAGCTTCTAGAACATTCTAGAAGTGTCTGGCAAACTGTAGGTCAATAAATGTTTCTCAAATAAAAGAATGAATAAAATTGTACTCATACACTTATGTTAAACTGAACATTACACTGAGGATACAATGACAAAACTTAGACTTAAGACAGTGTAGAAAACTGTATTAACACTTTAAAGGGTAGATCCTTTAAACACTTACCTTTCTGTATCTGAAAGAGAATCAACTTCAGGCTGAATTTCTAGTTCCAGCTGTAACCAGTCTCTGTAAGTCAACTGAGAGAGAAGGACCAAGTGACCACCACAGCAAGGACAGAGCACAGAAGCCACAGGTTGGGGCTGTGACGCTGCCCTATCTCATATTAGCTGGAGATCTCCTGTGTGTCTGTCAGAAATATCGTCCTATGCCATCTCCCAGGGTTAGACTGGGAGGCTGGCACCAAGCCCAGATGAAGAATCAGTCATTTAACTCTGAACGTGAAGCTAACCAAAACTGTTCAAACTGGCATTTAAGCTCAGTCCTCAACGCCGCTGCCTGGTCCTGGACAGCCCGCAGCATCTGCACAACAATCACTTTCTAGCTCACTGAGCTGTGCAAATGACCAAAAGATAAACTTGATGTGACAACATGCTTCCAACAGTCACAGCTCCACGCGTCAACACAGACTAGCCTCAAAACCTCACACCGCTGACAGAGAGAAGGAAGGTCTAGTACATGTTGGGAATTAGGAGCAAGAGAAATATAAACTAAATGCACAAAATATAAAGTGTGGCCACGTCCAGACACCATGTTGTATTCGAATAATTTTTGTGCCAATAAATGACATCAGAATTCAAAAACAAAAAAAACCTCACACTGTGTGTAACAACGTGTCTCAGGGACACGCATGCAGCACACGCAGTGTGTGTAAACGCCGGGGCTGCGCGGCACCAGCAGGGACGTGTGTGTAGACAGTGATCGAGGCACGGCTGCTCCTGCCTCGTTGCTCCTGGCATCAGGCAGATGGTCAGACCTACTCTTGTATGACTGATTATTAACAATAAAAGAGTTGAAAAACATATACAATAAAACGACACAACTTCTTCTCTAAAGACCAGAACAAGCAGGCAAACATCCAAGAAATAAATGAAAAGTTATGAAGAGGTGGCAGAAACAGTCACATGGGCACGTTGTCTGAGCGGCCAAGCTTCCGGTGACTGTGCTTGGAGACACCCGGCCCCAGCTCACGGCCTGGCAGGCATGTGTCAAATCTGACGATCCCAGGAGTGATTTCTGTCGGGTCAGGCCCGCCGCCCATGTCCTGCGCCCACGGAGCCCAGAGCGTGGAGGAGCAAAGCAGCGGAAGGGACAGTGGGACCTACATGGAGTCCCTCCTGCTTCAGCAGTTCCCGCAAGGTCCTCTGCTTCCACAGGCAGAGAGCGGCTCGCTGCCAGTCCACGGAGGGCAGGCACAGGGGCCGCCAGGGAGAGCTGGCCGGGTCTTCCCAAGAGGGAGGGTCTCGGGCCTCTGAGAACCATCTGAACACCATGAACTGGAACTGAAAAAAGACAGTGGCGTGTGTGCTGTGAGACTGAGGAAACACGCAGGGGCCTGGCTGCGCCCGGCTGGCAGCGAGGAGCCCCTGGTCTCGGTGGGCAGCCAGCCCTGACCACACATCTCTGAGCTGCCATGCCCTGCAGCCGCGCACGGCCGTCACGCGCGACCCGCGGGCACCGGCATTCTAAGAAGTGTGCTCACTGGCTACAGGAGATGCTCCCTCAGCGATGCACTGAGCCGCACATCTTTGCCTTAGGAGGTCGCACCCCCACCCTCATGCTGACAGAGCCACAGGCTGCTTGAGGGGACCTCGGGGAGCTTGGGACACAGGGCGAGGACTTCCTCTTCTGGGCCGCTCCTCCGGATCTCTATCCCACACTTTAAAATGTCGGCACCTGGGACCGGGAGCACAGGGGCACCTGGACCCCAGGCTGCTCCTGACGCGGTGGAGCTCCCAGCAGCGCCCAGGAGCCCGACGCGGAGCCTGGAACTCTGAACCAGGCTCGAACCTCATGGGAGACGTGCCCTAAAGCTCTGCAGGCGCAGCAACACTGGTTCCCGCTGTGACGGCACCGCCGCCTTTGACGCTGAGGATTCTAACACGCGGCTTCCCAGGCCGTCTTCAGAGGAAGCACAGGGTGCTTCTTTAAATGCTGACACACTTTCTATGAACGGCAATCTTCTAACTTGCCTACTTCATAAATAAGGAGGGACATCTGTAGCTGTCACCTGCCAGCCCCTCCTCTTAACTCAGATGGAAGGAAAAGGCAGTGTTCAACCCAAGCAGACGGCAGGGTGGCGCCAGGAGACAAGTCTGCTACGAACGAGGCCGGTGCCGGGATGGAGGCGACACAGGCTTCAGGCCAGAAACCCGTACAAGACTGGAACTTCCAGGAGAGCAGAAAAAGGAACCCACGAGACTCACCTTTTTTATAAGGCCTGGAGACAAACAGCTGTACGACATGTCACGTGACTGGGAAGAAAACTTACACAAAGAATAAGAAATTGCCGCTGTACAAAATCTGAAAATAGAAAACAGATTATAACACAGAAATGGGATCCACGCAAAACAACAGGTGGAAGAAGAGCGTGAACTGCACAACGTGAACTGAGGGCCTCCCAGCCCGACGGCCGCTCGGCGCTCAGCCTCAGGCCCAGCCAGGCCGGCTCCTCCGAGCCCTCGGGAAGAGCCCCCAGTGAGGCCGTCTGGCCTGAGCTCTTTCCACGTTGACGAGAGACTCAGAAAACACATGAACACGCAGGCTCTGCACGTAAGGGCTTGCTTTCCCAGCGTGTCCAGAGCCACGGTCAGAACCAAGGGAATGAAGTGAGGAGGTGCGAGGTGGGTGTTCCCCGTGTGATTGCGTAAGGCTCTCGTTCATCTGCATGATGGCAAATTATTCACTGTTCCCGCCTAAAAGAACCTCAGAGCCAGAGTGAAGCATGTCCGGTTTCCAACTCAGCCTCTGCCTGCCCATGGCGGGCTGTGACGTGTGGGAGGGAGAGGCTGCCGAGAACAGAGGTGACCATGAGGCCCAGAGAGTCAGGACTGTGGCGAGGAAGGGGCCCGACTCCCAGTGCGGACTTGTCAGTGGTGCTGCTGTGGATGGCGCGGACAGCTGGCGGGCACTGGTCCCAGGCCGCGTTCCTGTGCTCAGCTCTCCCTGTCTCTCCTAATGCCAGCTCAGTCCGTGAGCCGCGACCCTGGTCCCAACATCTCCCACCGGAGCCTCCGGCTTCCGTCCTGACCTCAGCAGCCACAGGAAGCCCTTCGGGCCTGAGTCACACGTGGACTCCCCAGGGCTCTGCCCATGGGATGGCCACTCTCACCCAACCCCCGCCCATCTCTCACAGCCGCCGACCCCAGGCTACGGGCTCCCTGCGACTCACCAGGTCCCGGGAGGGGGCCTAGCACGCAGTGTGCAGCGAGTGGAGGAGCACATAACTGGACGATGGGTCTCAAAACCCTCTGGATGGGACAGCTGTGTGTGTAGAAACCTCCCCCAGAGAAAGCTGTTCACCACAGGGACCCCGGAACCTAACCTGAGGGTCAGGTCCAGCCAGCCGCTGGCCACCTGACCTGGAGAAGGGCACCTGCAGCCCACTGTGAGCATCTTGAAAAGCAGGTAGCAAAGTAGGGTGATCTCACTTTTCTAACTGAAGATACCAACACACACACAAATACACCCAAGACAAGGTTCTGGAAGGGTACAGACCAACACGGTAAAGACTGGTCATCTGTAGAGCATGTGTGTCTGTGCTAATTTTGTCTGATGAACGTGTGTTACTTTTGACAAGAGGGACACTCACTTCAGACACAGGGCTGAGGACTCCTGGGTCCTACAGGGCAGGAGGATGTCGAAGAGCTCGGGGACGGGCAGGCCCCTGGCAGGGGTGGGAGGGCCCACATGCACCTCCGGGAGGGCAGACCTGGACTCGCCGAGGTGGACGGCCAGGGCAGCCAACCCCACCACATGTGAGGCACTCAGGCTCGGGCCCTAAAATAGGAAAGAAGAGTGGTTCAGGGACTTCCCTGGTAGTCCAGTGGCTAAAGACTCCGTGCTCCCAATGCAGGGGGCCAGGGTTCAATCCCTGGTCAGGGAACGAGATTCCACATGCCGCAAGTAAGAGCCCACATGCCGCAACTAAGAGCCCGCGTGCCTCAACTAAAGATCCCGCATGCCGCAACTAAAGATTCTGTGTGCTACAACTAAGAGCCCACGTGCCGCAACTAAAGAGCCTACATGCCGCAACTAAGAGCCCAGATGCCCCAATGAAGACCGGGCGCAGCCACATGCATACATACGTACATACGTAGATAAATACAGAAATATTTAAAAAGAAAAGAGGTTCAGCGTTGTGGGGGCTGGAGGAGGTGGCAGCCCTACCTGGTGATGGAGCAGTTGGCAGAGCCGGCTGAGCAGAGCCGGCAGGAGCCTGCGTCTGCACAGGGTCCTCACGAAGTGGGCGGCCCAGGGGCCCTGCCTGTGGGGACAGCCACAGAGAACAGTGGCAGCGGCCAGGCCTGGCCCTGCACTGCCCGCCTGGAGCCTGGTGGATGAGCAGTCAGGCACCAGAGACTGAAGAAAGAACCAGGCTGTTTCCCAACCAGGAGGGTCTCCTGTTGCGACGCTGACCGTCGCCACGCCCCTGCTGGATAAGTCAGCCCCCCCCCCCAGGCCCTTCCCCAGCGCAGCACGAAGTCGGGGGGCAGGACCAGGGCCCCAGGCTCAGAGCTGGACCAGGAACGACGGCCACTCTCATCACGAGCACCCAGGCCGCCCCAGGACAGCTCCAAACCCCCCGGTGAGACCGCCTAGCCTCTACCTGTCTGGTGGGGCAACGCTGGAGGCCGCCATGAGGTTCTGACAGAAAGACGTCAGCAGGAGGTCCACGACCTGAGAGAGGAGAGGTCTCAGGGCCGCAAACCCACATCACAGCGTTTCCACCCTGGACGTACAGGGCCACAGTGGAGCTGACGAGACTGGAAAACGAGCCCCCATCCGGAGAAGAGGCTGCAACACCTCAGCACAGGAATCCCCAAACCCTGGGAGGGGCCCCCAGGGGTCATCACGGAGCTTCTTAGCAGAGAGCAGGGTCAGCAAACCTGCCCACAAAGGGCCACGAGCAGCCTCTGCCACAACTTCCTCCCAAACACAGAGTCTGTACGCAAACGGCAGCACCGGCCCGAAACCCTCAACTCACATGTGGTCTCCCTGGTGCCCCACACTCACCCTCTGCTCCCACGGCTGCAGCTTGGGGGACCGGACGCTGAGCTGAACCGGGGCCCCCTCGAAGTCGCTGTCATCCTCGCCGAGGCCCAGGGCGGAGCGGAGCTGTTCAGAGATCACTGCCATCTGAGCCAACAACGCTGCAAGGCAGGCACCAGCGCCATGAGCAGGGGCGCCACCCACCACCTCAGGGGCCACACTCTCAACTGACCCTGGGGCCGCTCTCGTCCCCGCCCGGCCAGCAGCGGAACCACTTTTCTGCAGTGCAAGTGGCCAGGCTTCTCCGAGGGGCTGGCATAGCTCTTCACGTCACCACAGCCCCTGTGTCTATACCCCGCGCCCCTCACCCGCCAGCCACCTCTGCACACACTGACGCCCGCTGCGGCCGCCCGGCCCGGCCTCAGCAGCTCTGCCAGCACAGGGACTCACAGGCCTGGCTGGCTGACCATCTTGCGGCAGCGCTGGGGCCCCACACAGGCCTCGACCTCCCCAAGAACCACGTACTGCAGGAGCAGAGTTTGGAAGGGTCACGCTGACCATGAGGGGACATCCTGGGCCCTCAGGACGACCACGGTGGAGGCAGAGCTAACAGTGCAGAGCTGGGGCTGCCGACCCTCCACCACAGGTGAAAATCTGTGCGTAACTTCTGACCCGAAGCTTAACTCCTCACAGCCTTCCGTGTATTTTGCATGTCATGTGAATCTACGTGTATTTTATGCATTCACGACATACCTAATTTTCTCAATATTTCTAGGCAATGTGGTTTATCTGAAATTTTTGCAATTGTCATTTATCTCAAAAAATTTTCCAGTATATTTACCGAAAATAATCTGCATATACTGAGTGGACCCACACAGTTAAAAACTGTGTTGCGGACTTCCCTGGTGGCGCAGTGGTTAAGAATTCACCTGCCAATGCAGGGGACACGGGTTCGAGCCCTGTCCAGGAAGATCCCACATGCCGCGGAGCAACTAAGCCCCTGTGCGCCACAACTACTGAGCCTGCGCTCTAGAGCCCGTGAGCCACAACTACTGAAGCCCGTGTGCCTAGAGCCCGTGCTCCGCAACAAGCAAAGCCACCGCGATGAGAAGCCCGTGCACCGCAACGAAGAGCAGCCCCTGTTCGCCACAACTAGAGAAAGCCCACGGGCAGCAACGAAGACCCAGCGCAGCCAAAAATAAATTAAAAAAAACCGAACTGTGTTGTTCAAGGGTCAACTGTATTTCCTCCGTGAGACTCTCATAGGAATTAAATGAATTCATAATAAATAAACATCTACTGAAGTCACTAGGTGAAAACATGCCTTATGTATTTTAGTTTCTGCATTTAGCATAGCAAAACTCTAAAAACACCGGAACCTAACATTTCACTTGTGGACCACTATGGCCACTGAGCGCTTTGAACTGCTCACGCCTGTCCTCCAGGCCCCTCATAGGAAACAGTCCCAGAAGCAGAGGCCCAGTGCTGAAGAGCACAGCCACCCAGGCAGTAAAGGAAGGAGACAACGCAGCTTTCCTCCTCCATGTCTCCTGTCCCACCGAGACGCCAGGTAGCAGAATAACCATATTCTACCCAGACATTGGGACAGCCTGAGTGTCAGAAAGGAGGCACGCTCCACACCCACCAGGCCGTGGTCAGGTTCACTACCAGATGCTGAACTGCAGGGAAAATGCACTGACCACTGCCACTATGGGCAACAGAGCAGCCTCAAGCTCTGAGCACGTCAGGACTGGCCTGTGCACCCACGGGCACCCACTGCGGACGGCCCGACCCACAGCCCTGTCCTCACCATCACGCTGGGTGGGATCTGTCACTGAGGCCCTGAGCTCTCGCAGGGCAGTTGTGAGCAGACCCAGCGGCTCCTCCTTACAGCTGGGCTCCACCTCCCTTTGCGAGGCTGCATCTGAGAGACAGGAGATAATTTTAACAATTAAACAGGTTAGATCAGATAGGAAGCACACGGAACTGACGCTGTCCCTGGCTTCTCCCTGCAGAGGGCACACAGAGGACTGGGGCCCTATGAGGAGGGAAGTGAAACGCTCTCCCTGGACGGCGGATGTTAATGTCCTATCAAAGTTAAAGCATTCATAAGGAAGTTTAAGAAAAACCATGGTTCTATACACACTATCGCCACAAGTGTAAAAAGCAGGTATGTAACGAATAAAGACCAAATGCATGTGGAGGGAGGCTGGGCGGGGAGAGCAGAATTATGTACAGATGATGGTTTAGTCCCTGTTTCTCAAACTTTTAAGTAACATTGTGATATTGTTTTTTACAACAGGATGTTAAAATCAGTATATTAGAGGTGATTACCAGTCCTCAACACACATTTAGTAGGTTTACTAAAAAATATTAGCCCTATGAGATACAGCATTCGGAAACATTCTAGAAGCCCCAAAAGCAGGACCATGGGGTTAGGAAAGGAGGGCAAGGCCTCACTCAACAGTGGACACAGCCCTACGGCCCCCTTGGCATCCTGTCTGCAAGATGTTTCGATACTGGTCCAAACAGGTGTGGGTCTCCCTGGCTGTCAGAAACCGTGGAAGATTGTGCAAGGAGGGTTCTGGCAGACAGAATTAGAAAACAGAGCTGCAGTTGCTCATGCAGCCTAACTGGCCCTGCAGGCGTCAGAGGGATTGACCAGCAAACAGCTGCACCATTTCAACACCGACAGACCAGGCCCTGTCCGGATGGCGCCTCGTTCCTGGGGCGATGGGGTGCGGACAGCCTGCCCAGCTGCTCCAAGCAATGATGCACGCTTTCACACACTGGCCCACATCACTGTCCCCTAGAAGCAGAAAGATCCCCAACCGTCCAAACGGCCAAAGAGCCATGGCAGACCCCCTACTAGGACACGGTGCAGAACAAGCACCACGGGCCTCGGGCCTGGCTGGTCACCTGACTTTAAAGCTCGAATTCAGGGCTTCCCTGGTGGCGCAGTGGTTGAGAGTCCGCCTGCCGATGCAGGGGACACGGGTTTGTGCCCTGGTCTGGGAAGATCCCACATGCCACGGAGCGGCTGGGCCCGTGAGCCATGGCCGCTGAGCCTGTGCGTCCGGAGCCTGTGCTCCGCAATGGGAGAGGCCACAACAGTGAGAGGCCTGCGTAACGCAAAAAAAAAAAAAAAAAAAGCTCGAATTCAGACAGGCAAACAGAAGCCACATGACAGCCTCAGCGGGGCACACAAAGATGAGAAATGGTCAAGTGGATTTTGTACTGCATGTGTGTTCAGGGAATGACATCACAGGCAGCCCTCCTGGTGTCACAGCTGTCCCAGGGCTGGTGCTGGGCAGTCTCTGAAGCCACAGCTGTGACCAGACCCAGCATGACAGAAGCAGACCAGATGGACCAAGGTGCCACCGACACGTCTCGTGGTCAGGGAAGTGGAGGTGAGATGTGGGCACGTCTGGGGACCAAGCGACCCACTGACCTTACCTTCTGGCTTCTTCTCTCCGACAGTGGAGCAGGCTTGGCGGTAGGTGGAGTATAAGGAGGGGGGAATTTTATCTGCTCTGGATCAGAAGAAAACATTAAAATAGTCAGCTATGACTCAAATTAATTCTCAAGCTTACAATCCCAAAGACTATCATAAAACAGAAATATGCAACAGAGTAAATCTAAACAAATTATACAACACCCCACAGCATGACCCTATGTTTAGGAAAAACATTGTCCACATGGACTTAAACGGCCCTGACTACTTCATACGTCCTATATAAACATCTCCCAACAGTGGGTTTTGTTGTGTAGTGAGATTATAAATGATTTTCACTTCTCTCATTCAAGTTTTGGTAATTCCCAAATTTTAAAGGTGAACTTATATTACTTTTAATGAAAAATGCTAACTAAGGAAAACATCCAATTAATGTCATTAAAAATACAAGTCCTGTGATGAGGACATGGGGCATCTACAGGGCACGGACACGGCTGGCACATTGTCATGGCACAGCAGTAAGTACAAGGACGAGAGCCACAGAGCATCCCCCCCGCCCCGCCATCAGTGCTGCAAACCGTGACAACGAGATTCAAGTAGAAGAACAGAGACGTAGCTGTGGTCCAGAGTGAGAATCCACACCGGGACTGGAGGGAGGCAGGGAATCTGGCTGGAGACTAGGAACTGAGGGCACCACCCACTGCCCTGGGGACTGGAAAGCCTTCAGTTTAAAAAACAGAAACCAAAAAGAAGAAAAGAAAAAACAGAAACCAACGCAAATAAAGAGAAAGAACAAATTCAAGGAAACGGAGAAATTCACAGAAAAGAAACTGTCAGTCTTCACTTTTATTAGTATCTTCAGAGAGGTAAGACAAAACACTGCAGCTGTGAAACAAGAATGGACTGCTAGGGGCTTCCCTGGTGGCGCAGTGGTTAAGAATCTGCCTGCCAATGCAGTGGACATGGGTTTGAGCCCTGGTCTGGGAAGATCCCACGTGCCGTGGAGCAACTAAGCCCGTGCACCACAACTCCTGCGCTCCAGAGCCCACAAGCCACAACTACTGAGCCCAACTGCCATAACTACTGCAGCCCGCACACCTAGAGCCCATGCTCTGCAACAAGAGAAGCCACCACAGTGAGAAGCCCACACACCACAACGAAGAGTAGCCCCCGCTCACCAGCAGAAAGCCTGCGTGCAACAACAAAGACCCAACACAGCCTAAATAGATAAATTAATTAAATTAAAATTTTAAAAGAAGAATGGACTGCTGTACAAAGGAATATCTGATGACAGAAATGAAACACTCAGTAAAAGAACTTGCAGATAAACTTGAAGAAATCTCTCAGAAAGGAGAGGAAAAACAAAACAAAACAGATACGCAAAATAGGACAAAAGAGAAAAAAATCAGAAGACAATACAGGAGATCTAATATCTAAAACATAGCAGTTCTAAGAAGAAAAAGGACATAAAGAGGACACATCTGCAGAGAAATAAACCAAGTAGAAACAATCAGCGTCTGGGATTTGCTTCAAAATAATCCAGAATGCTGGGTGGGTAAGTGAGTTTGAAGGCTACAGATGAAACAAGATTGCCCATTTATTGATAACAAATCTGGGTGATAGATTCTATTCTGCTTTTCTGTCTTAAATTTTTCATAAAAAAAAGGTTTTAAGTATCCAAGAAAATCCCTTAGTACTGAAGGATATGAATTTCCAGAGTAAAAAGCCCACCATGTGCCCAGCCCAGAAATAAAATTAGACCCACAATGAAATACACTGCTATAAAATTTCAGAACACAGGGAACAAAGAAAAGGCACTACAGGCCTCCAGAAAGAAAAACACAGATTCCCATGCAAAGAGTCAGAAACTAAGTTTCTAACATCTCAGTCGCAACAATGGAAGCTAGAAGTCAATGGAGTGACTCTTAACAATTTGAGGGAAAATAATTTCCAACTTAGATTTCTATACCCAAACTACCTATCAAATGTGAGGGCTAAATAAGGTGTCGAAAAATCTACCTCACACACATCCTTTTGTAAGAAGCTTCAATAGGACGTTTTCCACCAAGACAAAGGAGTAAACCAAGAAAGAGGATGATCTCGGGCATAGAAAGGAGAAGCCAGCACAAGCCAGAGCAAAGGACGTCAGTCTCCAGGTGACGCTGAAGGAAGATACAAGGGTGACAGCAGTCTTAGAGGCATAACAAGCTAGTGGGTCAGAGTGAAGCAGGTCAGAAGGCTCTAGAAGAGATTTCCCAAAGATACAACCGTTGGGATACTTGATTCTGAACAAGAGAACATTTAGACAACTGGTAGAGTTTCCAGTGAATCATGATATGTACAAGGAAAACTAAGATAAAACAAAGATAATTATAAACTCCAGAGAAAACAGAAAGTAACGATTCCTAATGATCAACTCTGAATACTGTTTAGATAGCCTTAAAAAACAGGGTTTTTTTGTGGTGGTTTTTTTTTTTTTGCGGTATGCAGGCCTCTCACTGTTGTGGCCCCTCCCGCCGCAGAGCACAGGCCCTGGACGCAGCCAGGCGCATGGGCCCAGCCGCTCCGCGGCATGTGGGATCCTCCCGGACCGGGGCACGAACCCGTGTCCCCTGCATCGGCAGGCGGACTCTCAACCACTGCGCTACCAGGGAAGCCCCAAAAAGCAATTTTTCAAAACCAACACAGGAAGGGCAGCTATGTGTATTGGTAAAGGAAAGAAAACTAAAACAGAAAAATTAATACCAAAATAATACTGTTATATGGAGATTCGGGGCGAAATATCGAAAAATCAGTTGAGTTGAAAATGCTTGCTTCCAGAAAGAAAGTGAAGTGGCAGGGATGGGTGGGGAGTGGCTATTTCTCTCTCTCTTTTTTTAAAAAATAAATTTTTTTATTTTATCTTATTTTTGGCTGCATTGGGTCTTTGTTGCTGCGCACGGGCTTTCTCTAGTTGTGGCGAGTGGGGGCTACTCTTCGTTGTGGTGAGCAGGCTTCTCATTGCAGTGGCTTCTCTTGTTGGGAGCACGGGCTCTAGGTGCTCAGGCTCAGTAGTTGTGGCACACAGGCTCAGTAGTTGTGGCTCGTGGGCTCTAGAGCGCAGGCTCAGTAGTTGTGGCGCACGGGCTTAGTTGCTCCGCGGCATGTGGGATCGTCCCAGACCAGGGCTAGAACCCGTGTCTCCTGCATTGGCAGGCAGATTCTTAACCACTGCTCCACCAGGGAAGCCCCTGGCTATTTCTCTTAATAAACTTCATAGAAGTATCTGACTCTTTAATCTAACTTTAAAAAAAAAATTTATTCAAGCATAGTTGAATTACAATGTGTGTTAATTTCTGCTGTACAGCAAAGTGACCCAGTAATACATATATATATATTCTTTTTCATATTCTTTTCCAATATGGTTTATTACAGGATACTGAATATAGTTCCCTGTGCTATAAGTGGGACCTTGTTGTTTATCAATTCCATATATAATGGTTTGCATCTGCTAATCCCAAAATCCCACTCCATTCCTCCCCGTCCACACCCCTGCACTCCCCAGCAACAAGTCTGTTCTCTATGTCTGTGAGTCTGTCACTGTTTCATTTGTGTCATAGTTTAGATTCCACACATAAGTGATATCATATGGTATTTGTCTTTCTCTGTCTGACTTACTTCGCTTAGTATGATTATCTCCAGGTCCATCCACGTTGCTGCCAGGACTCTTTAATCTATATTTAACTCTGACAAAACTCTTTTTTAAAGATTAGAAATAAATATGTCAAAAAATTAGGGACTTCCCTGGTGGCGCAGTGGTTGGGAATCCACCTACCAATGCACAGGACATGTGATCCCACATGCCGTGGATCAACTAAGCCCGTGAGCCACAACTACTGAGCCCATGTACCAAAACTACTGAAACCCGCGCGCCTAGAGCCCATGCTCCTCAACAAGAGAAGCCACCACAATAAGAAGCCCACGCACTGCAACAAAGAGTAGCCCCTGCTCTCCACAACTACAGATAGCCTGCGTGCAGCAACAAAGATCCAACGCAGCCAATAAAAAAAAAATTAAGAAGGCATACCATACAAATACCAAAAAAAAAAAAGCCGGTTTTAATAGCAGACAAAACAGAAATTAAGGTAAAGAGCCTAACAGAGACGTTACATAATAACAAAGGGAAAAACACCCAGCAAGAGAAGCCTGTATTTTAACAATTACAAACTTTCTTGCAACAAGACAAATCTGACAGAATTATAAGGAGAAACTGACAAAATCACAACCACCTCCACAATAAACTGATAAACCAAAGACACAGAAAACTATTCAGGATACAGAAAACTTGGGAATAAGCACAATTTAACAGACAGACCCTACAGTCCCAAACTGAAGGACATGTGTTGTTTTCAAGGATGCGCGGAATGTCTGCAAATTCCAAGCAAATTCTGAAAGGAAGTCTTGACAAGTAGAAAAAACTCCAGATAAAGTGAATCATATTCTTTGTGAAACATGAAATTAACATTGGAATTCAACAATAAAAACTCATGGGCAAACACCTAAATGTTTAAAATTTTTTTAAATTTACTTAAAACTAACTTACAAATTATGAGAAAATCATAGCACAATGGTTGAGTATTTACTTAGAACTGACCGACAGTGTAAGAACTACACATTGAAACTTCTGGAAGGTGGCTAAAGTGATATCTGGAGGTAAAATTTATTAAAATATGCCTGTTTTAAAACACAAGTTATAAAACAATAAATTAAACCACCACTTTAAGAAGTTATAAAAGGAACAACATAGTAAACCCAAAGAAAACAAAAGGTAAATAATAAAGTTAAAATCTAAAAACAAATAGAAGATTTTTTTTAAAACAGCAGGGAGGGGCTTCCCTGGTGGCACAGCAGTTGAGAATCCGCCTGCCAATGCAGGGGACATGGGTTCGAGCCCTGGTCCGGGAGGATCCCACATGCCGCAGAGCAGCTAAACCCATGCACCACAACTACTGAGCCTGCGCTCTAGAGCCCGCAAGCCACAATTACTGAGCCCGTATGCCACAACTACTGAAGCCCGCGCACCTAGAGCCCACGCTCCATAACAAGAGAAGCCACCACAATGAGAAGCCTGTGCACCGCAACGAAGAGTAGCCCTGGCTCGCCACAACCAGAGAAAAACCCACGTGCAGCAACGAAGACCCAACGCAGCCAAAAATAAATAAATTTATTTAAAAAAAAAAAAAAAAACAGCAGGGAGGGGGTTTCTCTGGTGGCGCAGTGGTTAAGAATCCGCCTGCCAATGCAGGGGACATGGGTTCGAGCCCTGGTCTGGGAGGATCCCACATGCCACAGAGCAGCTAAACCCATGCACCACAACTACTGAGCCTGAAGTCTAGAGCCCGCGAGCCACAACTACTGAGCCCACGTGCCACAACTACTGCAGCCCGTGTGCCTAGAGCCCGTGCTCCGCAGCAGGAGAGGCCACCTCAATGAGAAGCCCCAACTCGCCACAACTAGAGAAAAGCCCATGCACGGCAGCAAAGACCCAATGCAGCCAAAGATAAAAATAATAAAATAAATAAATTTATTAAAAAAACCCAAAACAGCAGGAAGGACACAATATTAAAAGCTGGTTATGTGATAAAATTAATAAAACAGACAAGTCTTTAAGTAATGAATGAGTCATAAAAAAAGGCAAAATTAACACTAGCATGAAAAAAATTTTAAGGGATGAAAAGTACAGATGAGGTAGACAAATTTTTTAAATCACAGTAGAATATCATGAAAATGATACATCAATAGATTTGCAAACTTAGATGAAATGGACAATTTTCTAGAAATATATATAAAAGCTAACTCGAGAATAAAAAACCTGACTAAACCAATAACCATTCAAGAAACTGAGTCAGCAGCCAAAAGTTTCGCCTCCACAAAAGACACCAGGAACAGATGATTTTGCAGCCAGATTTTACCAAACCTTAAGGGACACATGATCCCTGTGTGACAAACTATTTCAGGGGACAGGAAAGAGGGAAGGCTACCCGGTTTGTTCCATGAGGAACCAAATACCTTAATGGCAAAGCAGCCAAGGTGAGTGTAACAAAATGAGACACAGATGCCTGAACTCTAAATAAAGTATCAGTAAACCAAATTCAGTTCATAAAACAAAAAACTGTTACCAATTAGGGGGTATTCCAGGAACGCAAAGACAGTGGAAAAACCTATCAATGTAATTATCACATAGCCGATGACAGGAGAACAGCACAATCATCTTAAGGGTTGCCAAAAAAAAAAAGCATGAATTCCTGCTAAAAGTCCTTAGCGAATTCACAGAGGGAACTCTTTTAATATGGTAAGGAGAATATATATATATATATATATATATATATATATATATATATATATATATATATATATATATATATATATAAATGGTAAAACTCTCGAAGCAGTCCTGTTTCAGCCAGGAACAAGGCGCGAGGCCAGCTTTCACTCCTACGATTGCTCATTATACTAAAATCCTACCCAATACAGTGACAAACACCGAGAGGCATAATAATCAGACAGGAGGAGGCAAACTTGATCTTGTGGGCAGCGTGACTGCATAGAAAATCTCACCACCCGCTGGGAGTAAGTTCGACAGTTAACGGAAACAAGGGCACCTACACCTCAGCAACAGCTGATGAAGAAGCCAGAAAAGAACATGCAATTCACAACAAAAGCTAGGTACCGAGTAGCAAGGCTGACAACAATTTACAAGAGTTTTATAAAGAAAAAACACTAGTAAAAGACTTGAATAAACAAAGATGTACTGTGTTCCTGGAAGGAAAAACTCAGTACCATAATAAAGCCAAATGCCTCAAGTTAACCTATAGAATCAATGAAACTGCACTCAAAATTTTCAAGCTTTCATGGAGATACAGCCAAGGGTGTTCACTGAAGCACCGCTAACAGAACATAAACGTGAAGTAACCCAAGGGTCCAACTCCAGGGTGGTGAGTGCATCTATTTATTCCGTAGGCATGTGGCCTGCACCCGGGGGGGTGCGACGTGGCAGTCTGCAGACACAACAGAACTCCACACAGCATTAAACAAACCAGAGCACACGACCAGTGGGGGGAGTGAAAATGCAAGTCACAGAACAACACACACTGCTATCAAATCCACTTTGAAAACACACAAGAGCACACTGTGTGGTGTGTTTGTGTGTGGACATGATTTACAGCTATAAACATATAAAACAAAAGGATAAAAAATAGAGGAAAAATTTATGCACCAACTTCAGGATAATGATTTTCTTGGAGGAAAAGGGGAGGGAATCAGAGACCTGGGGTAAGATGTATCTGGACTATTTCAAGGAAAAAAGGAAAGATAGCAAAAATATTAATGCGAATGGGGCATAGGGGTGTTTTTTTTACTGGTCTCTTTACTTTTGGAATATCTTATGCCAAAAATAGATAGAAGTAAGGATCCCAGAGAATGGCCTAATCATCAGATGAAAAAGCTTATTTTTACTTTCTAGGCCCTTTATCTTTTCAATCTTCTCACAGGACCCATCACTTCCCATGAGACACTGGGAAACAGGGCTGATCGTTTTCTGTTTCTACCACCTCTCTGCTCCTGGAGGTCCTCAGTGTGAGCCGGGGGATGGGACCCCCGTGCTACACGTGGTCTCCACTCTCCCCAAATCATCACAGTGGAAGGCTTTCACCTCTCCCTTTTCCCTCTTTCCTTAAATTCTCCTCCTTTCCCAATGATTATGTAGCAAAAACACTATTTTCTTTAATTCCCAGACTAATCATCCTAAAAGTTCATTGAAAATGCTAAGTTGTGATATTCAGAATCAAAGAAATTTTCTTTTTAACATTTTAACAGACTAATTTTGAGCCAACTTTTTATAGGTAAAGCCTACATGTGACAAAACACATTTCTCTACAGAAGAGCCACAGCTCCTTGCGCTCGCTGTTAGCCCCCAGACGAGCCGCGCTGCCATGCATACCTCCTCAGGGACTCTATGAGAGCGGCCCGGGAATCAGGGATCCTCGGGAGCTGAGAGGGAAGACAGGACTTGGGTGAGACGCCAGCAGGGACCCCGCTCTCTGCCGACCCAGCCCCACGTTCACGGCGACGTGTACTGACCACTCGCGGCGTGAGCAGGGCGGGGAGAAAGTGGGACAGGTAGTAGGACCTCCGGAATATGCTGCAACAGAAAAGGCCAGGCTCAGGGGTGCCCCACCTCGACCAGAGGACCCTCAGTGAGGGCAATGACCGTCCAGGGCCGTCCCTGCAGGCCAGAGCGTGGGCCACGTGGTGTCACGTTTCAAGGCTATGACATTATATCACGTTTTCAAGTTTCTTTCCCACACAAAGGGAACTCTGTGCTGGTGACCTGCACCCTGAGAGTCTGGAGGATTCTAGATGCACGGCCCTGGAACCTGGGTTCATCCGCGGCCACGAGGTCGACCGTGGGAGCTGGAAGCTGTGAGCGTTTCTCAGAGGCAAAGCCTTGAGAAAGCTACCCCACAGCTACCCCGTACTGGCAGCAACCAGAATTCAACGTGTTTTGGCGTCACACCAAATTCAACAAAAGTTTGCTATTCAACTCCCTGTGCTGGCTTCACACGGCCACCGTTGAAGCATGAACAAGAAAAGTCATCGTGGCCACAGGGAGGGCCTGTCTGGTCCCTCTGAACAGTCTGTGCTGCCGGGCACCTGGGCTTTCCGCAAGGGAGCTCATGTCACAGCAGGGGCTCAGCAGCACCTGCCCACCAGCCCTTCCGGCAGCGTAACCCCACCTGGCCTCCAGGACGGCGGCGGGAATCTTCCCCGTGTGTTCAAACACCATGATGGCCTTCTCAACATCCTGGGCCGCTTGGCAGCGGGGCTGGCTCCAAGTGGGGAGGACGGAAAAAAACAGAAGATTTAAAAGAAAAGGCAGGAGCAGAGCGGGGCCACGGTTCTGTGGTCAGGCGAGAGGCATGACAGAGCAAGCGGACATGCAGACAAATGCCCTGATACCAGCAAAACCACAAGGAGGGGTCAACTGCTGGCCCGGCCCCAGAGAGCTCAGCACCTCTGGGGAGCCACAGCCACCCCCAGGTTCCATGTGTCTGTGCACTCCACCCCGCTTCCTGCTGCCCTTCTGGGAGAGACAAGGATCCCAATGCAAGATTTTCAGGTGGGAAGGTGCCAAGACCTAATTTTTGAGATTTAAAAAAATTATGAAATGGCAACTTGTGAACAGCGATAAATCTTAAATAGAAAACTTAAAGTATTCGCCTAACAGTCCAACAGCAAGGGCTCTCCAGAGACTCGCAACTTTGAAGTAAGAGTGTCTTAGGAAAGCACACACACACCGCATATGGCCATCCGACATCTGGTCTACATAAATATAGTTCACACTTTTTTCTGTAATTCCTAGAAGAACATGACACCGCCCTTCCCCAACTGTTTTACAGACCACTTTGTCCGTGAAACCACGGGAAGGGGGACCTCCTGGAAGAAGCATCCCTGTAAAAGGTGACCCTCGCTGCTGCTCTGAAGAGTGTGGATACGACCGGACAAGCCCTGGAGCACAGCTCACCCCGGCTGCCGCACACGCACCGGGGCCCAGACAGAAAAGGCTCGGACACGCAGAGACGCTCAGCGACAAGCCCGGGACATTACCTCCGTGACGTCCCCAGCTGAAGACAAATCCTCATAGAGCCCCATGTTTTCTACAGAAACCTGCAAAGACACGGGCGCATGTGAGGACCCAGATAGGCACTGGCCTCCGTGGAGACAGAGGAGGGGCAGGCAGCAGGGGAGGCTGGGACTCGCCTTGAGGTCGGCCAGGCGCGTCCTGGCCAGCGCCACGTAGTCGGTGAGGAGGCTGCGGTACTTGCTGGGAACCAGTGGCGGGTGGAGGATGTGCACCTGCGGGCAGAGGGCGGAGCAGGTCCATCAGCCCGTCAGCTGTCCTGACTTTCTGGGGGAGACACTCGTACTGACGGCAACAAAGTTGAAGAATTAGCCAAAGACCCCAGGGCCACAGCTGGAGGTGGGGCAGACGGAGTCCTGGGTGAGGGTCTCGGGACGGGGCCAGGAGGGGCAGCAGGGACTGAGATGCACAGGGAGACCAGACTCAAGGCTGCGTGAGTTACGTCACGTGTATTCTTTGAAATGAAATATGCATTTCTTAATTAAAGAAAGAAGGTGAGATTCATCTTCCAAGTGCCCTACCCCTCAAAGCGGATGCTGGTTATAGTCATCTGATTACAAAAGAAAGCTCACTGCAAGGCGCTTTCTAATCGTGAGACTAATGTACATGGTGATAAAGAACGTAAACTGGAGCGTGAAGTCTTCCACTCCCAGAAGGAACGTCCACAGCCACTGGGGGCAGATTCTTCCAGATACATAAAAATATATCATTTTTAAAAACCAACCATGGGACCCAGGGCACTCGCCGGCTTCGGTGTCCGTGGTATGGGGCCCCCTTTCTATGCAGGCACCAGGCCCCCTTTGCTCACTCACCAGCTCCTAGGACCACATGCGGCTGGTTTCTGGGCATTTACTATAAGAAACATGCCTCCCCAGGAGTACACCAACACCCCAGGATGGCGTTTGCATTCTGTGACTGTCACTTGCGGGGCTTCCCTGAGCTGAACGTGCCGCCGGCCTCTCACCTGCAGGTACCGGGGGGCCTCGAAGGGCACGAGGTCAGACAGGAACTTGAAGAGGAAGACCAGCGCCTTCTTGCTGGAGCCGTGGAAGCCCCTTGCGCTCCCGAAGGTGGCCTGTGGAGAGAATGGGCATGAGGTGGGGGCGACGGGAGGACTTGCCGTGTGGTGGCCGTGGCTACATCCCGGCCTCAAAAACAGCAGAAAAAGGGAAGCAGAGCCATTTCAGTTCATTTTTCTTTAGGACGGCATGGCTGTGGCCTAGTTAAACAGATGGACTGAAAATTTATTTTAAAAATTAAAAATATATTGCTGGAGAAAATGGTAAATATGGTGCCTTTCTATGAACATTAGAGACAGGATTTGTTAACCACCCCGCGAGAGTCCCTTCCTCACAGGTGAATTCATTCCACTCCAGCTCCAAGCCCGTCTGAGCGGATGAGATCCCTGCAGGGGTGGGCCCTCGGGCAAAGTGCCCAGGCCACAGCAGGACAGTGGACTCTTATAGAACCCAGGGCACCCAGGGGTGCCTGGGGGTGCCCAGGGCAGGGAGGTTCTGAAGAGGTGTCGGCCCTGAATTATGTCCCCATGAGCCTGCAGAGACCAGCACTCGCCTCATGCCAGCCACAAGAGGCCCACCTGCAACACCACGAGGCCCACGGAAGCTCCTCCTCCAAAGCACACCCTGTGGTTCTTCTTAACAATTGTGCTGTCCGACGACAGGCACAAAGTCATCAGAAGGAGCACACAAGGCCGACACCACTGGACCTATGCTCGGAGCACCGAGTGGACTCTGGTAAGTCCCTCAGTGCCAGGACTGTGGACGCAGTCACTGAGTCCACGTGCGTCCAGCAGGAGCCCCTGGCCCGCTGTGTGGAGCTGGGGGAAGTGCGGGGCCAGGAGGGAGCTTCATTCCGTGAAAGAAAGAGCCACGCCCACCATCTCTACGGCACACCAGGCACAGAGCCCGGTGGATGCAGAGAGAGGCGGGCTCTCCAAAGAGGCCACAGCTACACCACCCAAAGCTTCTGCAGAGAACAGGGCTCGTAAGCCCAAATCCACACACGCCCAGCCGTCAAAGCTGATGTCCCAACGATGCCCCCCAGGCCCGGCCAGGTTCAGCAGCCTGGGAAGAGGGGAAACACGCGCAGGTGGAGGGAAACAGGGAAGAGAGGAGGGCGCTCCCCGACAGACGTGAAACCAATCACAGCGCAGCACACTGTGCAAAAAAAGGCAGCTGTGTTCGCTTTCACCCTTTCCTGCTGGATTTCACTCATTTTCTTGTGAGAGACGGCAGGAGGCTCAATGAGGCAGATGGGAATCTGAGCAGCCTCGGCAGAGCCGACCCCAGCGGGAGCGCAGGCGGCTCACCTGGAACCAGGCGGCATAGGACGGGAAGGCAGCTGGGCCCTCCAGCGCAGCCTGCCGTGCAACCAGGAACGCCAAGACCATGCTGTCCAGGTCACAGCTCTCGAACGCATGAGTCAGCAAACGCGACACCCAACCTAGGTGAGAACAGTGGCACGGCTGTGGACGGGGACTGGGGCGGGGGTGCGGGGGCAGGCAGGACAGTCCCCTCACCCAACACCGACCCCCAGGCCCTGGGTGGCGGCCCACACGCAGCCGAGCAGCGGGTACACGGGCAGGCCGACAGCAGAGGGCGGTCCAGAGGGCACCGGCTGGGTAGGCAGGAAGGGCTTCCATCCTCACTGAGCCAGACACAGCGATTCCGCCCACAGGCTCGCCCCAACGCCGGTCCACGGATCCCACGCACACGCACGCACGGAACACAACGGGGCTCCCATCCCCGCGCACCATCAACGAGCTGCTGTGCGTCTGGCAAGCAGATCACCAGTGTGGACACGCAGGACAGCACGTGCTGCCAGTTCACCTCCTGTGTCTCCAGAGCCTCGTGCAAGTGGCCCACCAGCTCCTCTGGGCTCAGGACCACGAAGAGCTGAAACCGAAGTGTCAAAGCTGGACCCCCACTCCCTCCCACTCCGCGTCGGACCCAGCCTGGACTCGAGACGCCTGCCCTCCCGACCCCCACAGCCAGCAGTGGCTGCAGGGAGTCCTCATCTGAGGACAAGGTGCTTTGCCCAAGTGAAAAGTTCGGTCTCTGCACCCGGACGGCGGTCCAGCCACGGACGGCCGTGGCTGTGGCATCTCCTGGGACCCACAGAGCCCGTGCAGCAGGTCTTGGACCCCACCCTGTGCACTTACCCTACGGTACAGGCCACTGAGCAGAGGCGGGGTCCTTGCAAAGCTCCACTCTCTCTGCATCTGAACGGCGTCGGAAACTTCATTCAGGAGGAAATACACATAATGTCACATCAGTAATCATCAAAAAGTTCAGTATCAATAAAGTACCTTGTTTTAATTTGCACTTTTCCAAATGTATGTGAACTTCACCATTTCCCCATTTTCCAGCCATTTTTTTATGTCATGAACTGTCTTTGGTAATCCTTGATCATATCTGCTATAAACATCCTCCAACCCATCAGTTACACTTTAATTTTGCTGCTTTAAAACTTTCACTAAGAATAAGCAGTCAGTGAGGACGTGTTGAAAGGACACAGTTGGAAAGCACTCATCAGCCAGGCCAGGCCCTCCGGGAGGGCAGCAGCCTCTGCCGGGGGCTTCTGTGCGCCCCTGGACACAGCACCACAGAGAAGGCACCATGAGGAGCCTCGCGGACCGCCCAGCCCTCACGGGACAGTGCGTCAGGCAGAAGATGACTCGGGTGTCGGACACCCTTCAGAAAGCCATGCACCCACAGAAAATGCTGACGTGAGCCGCAGAAACAGAACCTTGGAATTCACAGTACGAGCACTGGTTTAAAAACCTATCTAGAAAGACAGGAAGGGCTTCATATTAAAGATATTCTACTTTGGCAATAATGGATGACGCTTCTTTAATTCTAAATTTTCTTTACGGGAAAGCGTTGCTTTCAAATGAGAAGATATTTAATGACAAACGGACTGTCCTCCCAGCATTAACATCCGTGGCCCGAGCTTCTGTCAAGGGAGGCACCCAGGGCACCAGGACCCACCTTTCAGCACAGGCTTGTGGGTGAGGATCTGGGTCAGAGTGTGACAGAAGAACCTCTTTGGAGACTCGGTTGAAATTATACTTCCATACATGTGTCCACTGAACACACCGAACCTGCAGAAGCAGCAGAGGATCTCAGGGGAGGAGACCCCTGCAGGTTTCCGCCACTCAACAGTGTCAGCACCTGACAGCGGCACCTCACGCATGAGGAGTGGCTCGCTGGCAAAGCAGCCAGGGACCTGCAGGCCCCCGACTCCAGACCCCCAGCTCAGGCTCACAGGCTCACAGGCTGGCCCTGCCCACGCCTCCCCAGCCAGGCCTGCAGCCAGGCTGCGGTGCCGCAGATGGAAATGGAATCCAGGGGAGCGTCGCTTCAACAGAACAGAATCAAAGGCAATGGAGCTGCTGTCACATGGAGAAGCTAGAAGGCCAGAGAGAGGTCACAGGAGGCTGGGCCTCGCAGGAGGTGACGGAGGCCACGGTGACGACAGCCAGTGGCTGGACCCAGACCCAGCACAGTCACAAAGCCTCAGTCTCCCCATCTGTGAAATGGGAACCAGAGGTGGCAGGGCCATGGTTCCCACTGAGCACCTGATCCTGCCCCGGCACATGGAGGCTCTCAACCCCACCCGGAGCCAAGGACGTCCTTCTCCCGACAGGAGAAGCAAGAAAAGGAGAGGGAGCAGGATGTCACTGACAGGTCAGGAGGGACAAAGGGAGACCGGGGCCGACAGCGGGGTGTCATGATCAGCCCCACCTGACCCCTCAGGGGAGAGAATCCGGGGCCCTAGCAGCCACGTGAACTGCCCATGTCACACGTGCAGTGCGGAGGCTCCAGGCAGGATGGCCACCCAGACTGGGAGGGGACGTCTGACTCTAAGTGCTGGCAACTAAATAAAAATCGTGAAAAGTCGTGATCTGACTCTCGGGACAAGTCTGAGCACGGACTCAGCACATCGTGAAAATGCATAAAACATAGAACAGAGCAGTGTTTTATATGCTGATGAGTAAAGTACTCACCCAGCAGGTTTGAGGACGATTAAAGTAATCGTGGAGAAGAGGTAATCAGGAGCAAAATAATGGAAAAATGGAAAGAGTGACAAAGCCTGGAAATGCTGGGAAATCTCCTGGGTTCCCAGGACAGAGCCAAGGTCCAGGTGGTCTCACCCCATGTTACTCTGAAGCAAACCCGACACCCCAACGTTCGGTCCCCAAGTACCTGGATGCGCCTCCACAGAACCAAGGAGAGCAAGCGGAGGGTCCTGCGGGGGCAGGCATGACGGGCAAGGTCTCCCTGGCTGGGACCCCTCAGACCCCCTCCCCTCAGACCCAGAGGTGGCATGGTTCCCACAGGAAGGGCCTCATCTTCAGAGGACTTCTAGTGCTTTCCAGCTCCTGATGTCACCACAATGGCAAAGGATCACTGGGCCTTCGGGGGCGACCAGAATTCCTGGGACCACTCAGCCGGCAGGCCCACCCCCAGAACTTACCAGCAGCTCACTGCCTTGTGTGCTGCGGACCCCTCCTGTATCCCGGCCGCCAAAGCTTCGAGCGCGGCTGAGGCAGAAAAGAGACATCAGCACGGCATCACCGTCCATCATCAACAGCCCCGACCAACTGCTTCTGGGCAAGTCAGGTAACGGACACCTTGCCATCACAGGCCTCCTAGGCCCCCGAACCCCCCGACGCACAAGCCCTGCAAGATCCCAAGTGTCTCAGTGGTACCAGACTTAAGCCTTGAAAATCAAGCACAATATGTAGGCAAGAAAATGCTTCCCTAATGAACCATTCAACTGGTCACCTCTGCTGCTCTGGAGATCAAGTGTGAAGCCACCAAAACTGACAGCAGGAGAGAAACAAGCAAGTTGGTGAGTTTAGACCCAATCACAACCGTGAAAGAGGCCTCCCCGGAGCAGCACTGAGCTGCAAAGGCGGCGAGCCACAGGAAGCCCTAAGCAGCAAGGGAGGCCATTTGCCACCCGGCCACAGAGCCACTCACAAGCCAGCATCCTCTCGAGAACAGCGACGGCCACCTGCGGGGACAGAACGCTGCAGTTACACAGGGGCACAAGCGAGCAAGCCGTCACCCCAAAGTAAAGCAAGACTCGACTTTACAAAGAGCTCATCTCCAGACTCCCCCTCAGGCACGGCCCAGGATCTGGGTCGTGGGGAGGGCTTTACCCTCAAGAGCTGTGGGGGAGAGACCACCGTCCAGGCCCGTGCCCGTGCCCTCACATCTGCACTCAGGGAGCGCCCTGTGGTGACAGCAAAGCGGACTTCCCCGTATAGAGCTGACAACTACAGCGTGGGCCCCTCGTGCTGCAGCCGCTGCCCCACGAGGCCCGGTGTCCTCCTACCTGGGACATCCGCTCCGGGTCCACGGTTCCTCTCACATCCGCGTTCTTCTGGAATCCCCTCGAAACAAGCATTTGCACAAAATCTGAAACCCACAAAACCAAAGCATTTACATACACTGTGGTCTCTGAACAGCTGTGAATCACACAGACCACCAGCTTCAGAGGGGCCGGCAGAGTGAGGACCTGCATGGAGCTGAGGGGACACTGGCTCCTGGCCCCAGGGAGCCCACCGACCACACCACCGAACCCAGCCAAGGACAGCCTCTTCCCCGAGCCACACTCTATGCGAAAAGGAAACACAATCCATCAAGTTTATAGGAAGGATTTTCTCACTGAAAACAAAAAAGTATCTACTAAGGGTTTTACGTGGCCTTCCTCTCAGCCCATCTCCTACACCAACCATACAAGAACGGTTCTAGGGCTCGGAAGCATTACACTGTGGGAAATGAGGCAGGAAATGGACTCATAACTTCTGAAAAGATTACGACCAATGGGACTGAAATTAAAAAGATTTTGTCAAATTTCAATTTAAACTTAATCTGGGACCAGATTACAGGATTCAGGAATTGGAAATAATTCACATCACCAGGAAAGTTTTAGGAAAAAGGAATGCACCTTTTGCAAAGGAAAACAGTCCACAAGCCAACTAACTGTAGGGAACCCCTCCCATCTAGGTTTCCGTTTACTTGTGGACTGCATTCCTTCGGTATGTGTGACGGCGGGCCTGCTGACTCGGAGAGAAAGGGAAGGTGACAGAAGAACAGGGTGTGGCGCTGCCCAGGCGTCCACAGCAGGGCAGCCCTGCTCACCCACAGTCCCCACATTCAAATAAGGATTCCTGCCCAAGCTCCCACTTTGCTTCTCCCGGGCACCTTGTAAAACTACCGCCTAGAATTGAGCCGTGGAAAGCCAGTGGCCACCATACAAGCACTGGTGCCTTCTGCTGTGCTCTCTCCTGCTCGATTGTGACCTGGACGGAGGACGGCCCATCCCCAGCTCCCTGGGATATGTAAATAACCAATCTGTGACCCTACGTCCTTTGCGCATTGTCTAGGAACTGCGTCTTCAGTCAAATCAGCCCTGGACTCTCGCTTCCCCAAAGTGGGAGCTGGGATGCCGGGGGAGCCACCTGCCTCTGCTAGCAGGTCACAAGGTGCACATCCTTAACACACCAGCTCCGGCCCAACCCACCGGGTCAACAAGCTGACATTTCCACAACTCAAGTTCAATGCAAACCCACAACGACAGGTATGGACTGCAATGCCTTCCTGTTGGAGTGTGTCGGCCGCTCTGCTTCCCACAGATCGTCACAGCAGAAAGCGTTCCCACTGGTCTAAAGCAATTGTACCCAGGAACCCACCTCTGCCGTGAACTTACCAGCAAGCATAGCCCTGGCGACGTCGGCGTGCTGACAGGGTGCCTCTGTCTGCTCACACAGCAGGCGCAGGTCCCTGGAGAGCCAGGCCACCACGGCCTGAGAGTCGGCATGGCTGGGGGCACAAGCACACAGTTCACCTGACCCCATTATTCCACTTTCTTTCACACTCACTCCACTGACAGCGAGCTAGCGACTACCTCAGCCTTCCCGTCCCAAGCCACAACAGGGCCAGCAGATGTACAAGGGGCATCAGGAATGGCTGCCACTGATGTTAAAAATCATCCCTTTTGGGCTTCCCTGGTGGCACAGTGGTTGAGAGTCCGCCTGCCGATGCGGGGGACGCGGGTTCGTGCCCTGGTCCAGGAAGATCCCACATGCCGCGGAGCGGCTGGGCCCCTGAGCCATGGCCGCTGAGCCTGCGCATCCGGAGCCTGTGCTCTACAACGGGAGAGGCCACGGCGGTGAGAGGCCCGCGTACCGCAAAAAAAAAAAAAAAAAAATCACTTTTTTCAAATAGTTTATTTATTTGGAGTAGCTTACTATTCTTGGGAGAAAAAAGAAATTTCAGTAATAATAAATAGCGAGAGTAGCGATAATGGGCTCTAGACGTCAGCAGTGCAGCAGCCCTGCAGGACAGTCCTTGTCTGGGCGCAGAGCGGGGTGGGGGAGCCCTCACCTGTCACATTTGTATTTCCCTGGAGAATAAGGGTGATGAGCATCTTTTCACGTGCTTGGCTATTCGTAAATCTTCTTTAGAGAAATATCTACTGAAATCCTTTGTCCATTTTTTAATTGGATTATTTTTCTTCTTGTTGAAGTTTAAGAATTCTTTTATTCTAGATACTAGGTTCTTATCAGATATGTGATTTGCAAACAATTCCTATGCATTGTCTTTTCATTGTTTCGATAGGGCCGACACACTAAAGTTTTAAAACTTGATGAAGCCTAAATGACCTATTTTTTCTTTTGTTGCATGAGTTTTCGGTGTCATATCCAAGAAACCCCTGCCTGACCCAAGGTCATGTAGATTTACCCTCAGATCTTCTTCTAGGAGGTTTATGGTTTTAGCCCTCAGGTTTAGGTCTCTGATGCACTGAGTTAGTTGCCATCTGTAGTGTGAAGTAGAGTCCAACACCACTCTTTTGCATGTAGATGTCCAGTGGTTCCAGCACCATTGTTGAAAAGACCGTTTTTCCCCATTAAATGGTCTTAGCACCGTTGTCAAAAATCAACTGACCATAAATGTGTGAGTTTACATCTGGATCCTCAATCCTACTGTTTATCTATATGTCAATCCTTATGCCAGGACTGCACTTTCTTGATAATTACAATCTTGTAGTAAGCTCTAAAAACCGGATGTGTGGGGAATTCCCCGGCATCCCAGTGGTTAGGACTCCACACCTCTACTGCAGGGAGCACAGGTTTGATCCCTGGTCGGGGAACTAAGATCCTGCATGCCTCACGGCATGGGCAAAAATAATTAACTAATTAATTAAAATAAAAACAGGATGTGTGGGGCTTCCATGGTGGCACAGTGGCTGAGAGTCCGCCTGCCGATGCACGGGACACGGGTTCGAGCTCCGGTCCGGGAAGATCCCACATGCCGCGGAGCAACTAAGCCCGTGAGCCACTACTACTGAGCCTGCGCTCTAGAGCCCACAGGCCACAACTACTGAGCCCAAGTGCCATAACTACTGCAGCCCGCACACCTAGAGCCCATGCTCTGCAACGAAAAGCCACCACAATGAGAAGCACGCACACAGCAACGAAGAGTAGCTCCGCTCACCGCAACTAAAGAAAGGCCTCACGCAGCAACGAAGACCCAATGCAGCCAAAGATGAAAATAAATAAAGAAATTTATTAAAAACAAAAAAAAAGTCTATTGCTTAATTCCCAATATTATGGATTTCCCAAAACTTCTTGTTGATTCTATGCAGTTCTTTTGTGACTTGAGAACACGCCGTGTATGGTTTCAACCCTTGTAAACTTACTCCAGCCTGGCTTATGGCCTGAAGCGGGTGGCCTCCCCTGGCGCTGGGCACCGCCGGGTGGGGCGCTCCGCGGGCGCCAGCTGCGAATGCTGCTCTCTCTCGTCTCCGGTCGTTGCTGGTCTGAGCAGGTGATCCACCCGTTACTGAAAGTGGGGGACTGAAGGCTCCAATGACCACAGTTGAAAGTCCATCTCTCCCTCCAATTGTCAGGTTTTGCTTCATGTATCTGGAGCCCTGACATCAGGCATGTATGCTGGGAGATACGGTTTTCACGTAGTCAAACTGATCAATCTTCCACGACTTCTGGATGTGACCCACGTGTCATGCTGCCACCGGTTTCAATACAACATTTTCAACTGTGCTTGACAGTTCCCCAAACTAGACATTGTCTGTTTTCCCTGACCAGAGAATAAACACGTAAACCTCCAGCCTTCTGTCGACCACGGGAGGACTGACTGCCTGGCTGCCTAGAGCAGAGAAGACAATCCACCTCCAGCTCCATATGCTCCTCATGTGTGTTCTCAGTCAGCTCATCCTGAGCCCCCCTCCCCTTCACCCCCTCACCCAGAGGCACCCAGAGCCATCGCACCGCCTGCTCACTTGCTAAGTCGTTCACCACCCGTCCCTCCGCCTCCTGCTTCTCCTCCCCTAGACTCTCCCAACCTTATGGGGTTATTCCTTTTATAAAACCCCCTTTCTGACTGTTGGTGGGATTTCAGGAGGTAAGAGTTGCACACATTCTATCAGCCATATTTACCTGAATGTCTCTTTTTTAGCTTTTAAAAATATCTTATCGCACTGTACATCTTATACAAAGAAAACATTACCAAGTCTGTGCATGATGAAGACTTCAATTATAACAAATGTTCTCTTTAAACAATAAAGCAACTGCTTCTCTAGGTGATTTTTGGTTTTACATATAAATAAATCATACTAGATTAGAAAAAACTAAATCATGTAATATTAATTAAATTTCATGTTACATAAAATTTTAATTTTTAACTTAAATGTTCGATTTACTTTAATGGTAAATAATCACTGGTATACCTTTCCAGCAGCTCTTGGAGGCTTACAATGTTTTGAACATGAAGGCGCCACACAGCTTCAAGCAGCAAAGAATTCTGCAGAAAATGACAGGAACTATGAGTCAGTCCTTCACGCACACACTTTCCTACAAGACGTTCAGCCTGTGTGCTTCAGCACGTGCTCTCCTGAAAACCAAGCCTCTCAACACTCACATCCCCACCTTCACCCCGCCCCCCGCCACTGCAACCAGGTTCAGGCTCAGGCTTGCTCTCTGCCCAGCCTCTAGCTTAGTCCACCTCCAGGCCTTTCTCCACTATGGCCAACACAAGATTCCAAAATGTAACTGGCCAGGCCAATCTCTCCTCTTCTTTAGAACCCTTTCTGTGGCTCCTCCCAGCTTTCAGGACAAAGTTCAGACTCTCGTCTGTCCTCCCAGGGAGGCCCTCCAGGCTATAGCACTGATGTGCCCACCCCCTCGAACAAGGAGCCCCCGTCGGACTCGGCCCCAACACCCACAGTGCCCTCCTCTTCACCCAGGAACTCATGCCTCACACCCCACGCAACTTCCTTCCAGGAAGCCCTTCCTAACCACCCAATCAGCCATGGCCGCCCACTCTTCTCTGCTACCTGCAAACACCAGGGCCATTTAGCTAGTTACCAACGGGCGCAGGGGCCATACCAACGCCTGATAGTCAACTGAGCTCTACACTGTATGCTGGATAAAAGGGGGGAAAAAAACCATGAATGCACCATCATCTTAGTTTTCTTCTTTCCTTCTCCTATATACTTAACTGATCTCATTTAATAACTAAGCAATAGCTTGAAGTGTTCAAAAATCAGTAAATCAACTACACTCCAACATAAAATTCAAATTAAAAAAAAATCTATAGGCCTACTGAATTCAAAATGTTTCAAAACAGAACAGATGAGGGAATTCCCTGGCAGTTCAGCAGTTAAGACTCCACTTGCTCCCAATGCAGGGGGCCCGGGTTCAATCCCTGATAGGGGAAATAAGATCCCCAAAGCCACGCAGCACGGCCAAAAAAAAAAGAAGGATTTTAAATCACTTTAAATCACATTTTTCTAGTTTACTATGCTACCCTGGGAAATCGTTCATCATAATATACCTAAGAAAGCAAAGCATGATGTTTCTGTGCATAGTCTATTCTAATAAATATTACTAATGATGGGTGAATACTGACAAATATGGTGACTGACGGTCCTTCTTTCCCATCCACAGAGGCACCCCAGTCTCTGTAATTCATACGATGCTTGCTGGAATTCCTAACAAAACCCGGGGATTTTACTGGCTCCACCAAAGTCCACAGAACACTGCTTGAAAACCCTAGAGTCAGAGTTACAATCTCAACTTTACCTGTACTTTCCATAATTCCTGACAGAAGGAAAGACGGGAGAACATGCTTTGTGCTAATAAATTCTGCGCGACCTCAAACAAGGAAGACAGTTTCTTCTGAAAAGAGAGATTAAATCTTTTCTAAGAAACAGTATTAAATGTCCAACTTTCCCAAACAGCTGAATAGCAACTCGTGCTGTGTCTTACCCTCTGGTCCGGTGTCAGCAGCACCTTGGGAGGGGGCACCGCATCTGCCTCACAGACCCGCACGAGGCCAGAGGCCACCACCTGGCTGCACAGGACGGCCGCTGGAACACCCAGCTGCGCGGCTTGGTCGCGCAAAGCAGAGCCTTAAAGATGAGACAAAACACAGACACGCACAACAAAATGTACAACTGAAGTAGATTGGTTAAATGCCTTCTCCGAAGCTCTAGCACCACAGAAAATTGCCTTTTGAAGGGGAGAAGAGATCTGGGGGGAAACATGAGGTATGAAAGTAAGACAACTTCAGTCTGACTGAAGAAGCTCACGAGAATCAGGGCAGCACCTGAAGCCCATGGTTGCAGACACACATCTGTGCGTTTTGTATGACAAAAACAAGGGAGCTTGGCAGATACATTCTGACCAAGAACTTTAGCAACTCTTTCCAAAGGAGCACAATAAATTGAGAACTTTTAACAAATTTCAGTTTTTTATAGTTACCACTCCCACAACCGTACGATGATGTTTGACTGAACACGGGTCTGGCTTCCTGATGCCAGCCACACATATGGCGGGCATCGCATGCCACAGATGTGCCGGTCCCTGGGCTGCCAGGTGGAAGCTGGGCCCACAGGCAGCCACCTGCCCCCTGAGGACCAGCCCCTGGTCTGCACTCAATAGAGAGAAATGCTGCGCAGCCTGGAAATAGATGATGCCGCCAGAAAACTGTTTCCTAGCTTATTTGACTTCCAAAACTAATTTAAAGAAACCAGGAAACTGTATCACATGCCCATTACCTTCAAGGCTTTGAAACACAGGCCACTACAGAAGTGAAAACACGTGCAACAGCTGTAAAGGTTCCAAGTGACAGTACTAGATACTATCCACCACTGTGGTCAAGAAATAACTCACGGCAGAAATGTAGAAAATGCTCATTTCTAGCCATTCATTTCCAATTTGTGCCCATGGGAAAGTTTATTCCTGTTTTTATTTACAAGGCTTTTATTTTTATACAAATACCAATACGTATGGTAGCCACCACCTTCAGCAGGAGAAACTGAAAAATTCACGAGTTGCAAGTCTACTTATATTTCTGTGGTCAAGATGAAGAGCTTCTTATCTAAGTTCTTATGCTCTGATCCAAAAGTCCACACAAGAGAGTGTGTGGATGAGCTGGCTCCCTGCACCGTGCAGTCTGTGAAATCCACGTACAATTCCGGCCGAGAGAAGCAGCACTGTGGCCTTCAGGGATCAGCTGCCGACGTAAGCCTGGGGTGTAGGGTTCTCAGAGTAGCAATTGAAAACAAATGAGTGAATTAGTTAATACAGTCGTCCCTCAGTATTCCAGGGGGACTGCTTCCAGGGCCGCCCGTGGATACCAAAATCCGCAGGTGCTCAAGTTCCTTACACAAGATGGCGTACTGTTTGTACATAACCTACACACATCCTCAAGGACACTTTAAATCATCTCTAGATTACTTATAATACCTAAAGCAATGTAAATGCTGTGGAAATAGTTGCAGGCCCACAGCAAATTCAAGTTTTGCTTTTTGGAACTTTGTGGAGTTCTTTTCCCCCCTGAGTATTTCCATCCAAGGTTGGTTTAATCCACAGATGTGGGACCCATGGATACAGAGGGCCGACTGCATCTTTCTGAAATGACAGTCATTACATAATAAAAGTGTGAAAGACCAGAAAATAACTTATTTTTGTTATTCCCACAGAACCCTCCCTGTCTCGTATTCTCAAAGTGGGGTGGGGGACCTAGAGACAGACAAGCAGACCTCGATTTATCGCACTTTGTAGACATTGCCTCTTTTTACAAACTGAAGGTCTGTAAGCACCCAGCAAGTCCATCAGCACCATTTTTCCAACAGCACTTGCTCACTTGGTGTCTCTGTGTCACATTTTGGTAATTCTCACAATATCTCAAGCTTTTTCATTATTATCACATTTGTCATGTTATCTGTGATGCGTGATCTCCGATGTTACCACTGTAACTGTTTTAGGGCATCACTAACTACACCCACAGATGATGGTGAACTTAACCCACAAACATCCTGTGTGCGCTGACTGCTCCACCTCTCGGCCGCTCCCCTGTCTCGCTCCGTCTCTCGGGCCTCCCTCTTCCCTGAGACACAATACTGAAATTAGGCGAATTAATAACCCTACAGTGGCCTCTAAGTGTTCCAGTGAAACGAAGAGTTGCACATCTCTCACTTTAACTCAAAAGCTAGAAATGACTTAGCGAGGAAGGCATGTCGAAAGCTGAGACAGACCTAAAGCCCCTTGCACCAAACAGTTAGCCAAGCTGCGAAGCCAAAGGAGAAGTTCTTAAGGAAATTAAAAGTGCTACTTCAGTGAACACGTGAATGATAAGGAAGCCAAACAGGCTTATCGCTGATATGGAAAAAGTCTGAGTGGTCTGGACAGAAGATCACACCAGCCAGAACATTCCCTTCAGCCAAAGCCTGATCCAGGGCCAGGCCCTAACTCTCTTCAATTCTATGAGGGATGCGAGAGGGGAGGAAGCCACAGAAGCAAAGTCTGAAGCCAGGAGCAGTTGGTTCATGAGGTTGGAGGACAGAAGCCATCTCCACAGCACGAAAGTGCCAGGTGAAGCAGCAGGTGCTGATGAAGAAGCTGCAGCAAGTCCTCCAGAAGCTCTAGCTCAGATCATCCATGAAGGGGACTACACTGAATCACAGATTTTCAATGGAGAGGAAACAGCCTTCTACTGGAAGAAGACGCCGTCCAGGACTTTCATAGCCAGAGAGGAGAAGTCAGTGCCTGGCTGCAAGGAAGAGGCTGACTCTCCTGTTAGGGGCTAATGCAGCTGGAGACTAAGTTGAAGCCAATTCTCATTTACCATCTGAAAATCCTTGGGCGCTTAAGAATTATGGTAAATCAACTGTGCCTGTGCTCTAAAAAAATGGAAAAACAAAACCGGTATGACAGTACATCTGTTGACAACATGGTTTAGTGACTATTTTAAGCCCACCGTTGAGACCTACTTCTCAGAAAAAGAAGAGTCCTTTCAACTGCTTGTTGACAATGCACCTGGTCACCCGAGAGCTCTGTTGGAGATGGGCAATGAGATTCATGCTGTTTTCATGGCTGCTGACATAACACCCATCCTGCAGCCCATGGATCAAGGAAGAATTTCAACTTTCTACTCTTATCATTTAAATAATACACTTCGTAAGGCTATAGCTACCATAGACGGGAACTGCTCTGGTGAATCTGGGCAAAGTGAATTGATGGCCTTCTGGAAAGGATTCACCATTCTAGATGCCATTAAGAACTTAAGAACATTTGTGATTCATGGGAAGGATGTATCAAAATCAAAATGTTGACATTAACAGGAATTTGGAAGAAGTTGATTGCAGCCATCACGGATGACTTTGAGGGGTTCAAAAATTCAGTGAAGGAAGTAACTACAGATGTAGAGGACATAGTAAGAGAACTAGAATTAAAAGTGGAGGCTGAACACCATTTACAATAACCTAAGCAATGTAAGTGCCCATCAACAGGTGAATGGGTAAAGAAGATGTGGTACATACACTCAATGGAATATGACTCAGTCATAAAAAAGAATGAAATAATGCCATTTGCAGCAACATGGATGCACCTAAAGATTATCAAAGTAAGTGAAGTAAGTCAGACAAATGCGGTATGATATCACTTACGTGTGGAATCTAAAAAATTGATACAAATGAACCATTTACAAAACAGAAACAGACTCACAGACATAGAAAACTTACGGTTACCAAAGGGGAAAGGGGGGCAGGGTGGGCTAAATTAGGAGTTTGGGATTAAAATACACACACTACTATATATAAAACAGATAAACAGGGACTTCTCTGGCAGGCCGGTGGTTAAGATTTTGCCTTCCAATGCAGGGGATGCAGGTTCAATCACTGGTTGGGGAGATAAGATTCCACATGCCTTGGGGCCAAAAAACCAAAACATAATACAGAAAAAATACTGTAACAAATTCAAGAAAGACTTTAAAAATCATCCACGTCAGGGACTTCCCTGGTGGCACAATGGTTAAGAATCCACCTGCCAATGCAGGGGACATGGGTTCGAGCCCTGGTCCAGGAAGATCCCACATGCCACGGAGCAGCTAAGCCCGTGCACCACAACTACTGAGCCTGCACTGTAGAGCCTGTGAGCCACAACTACTGAGCCTGCGTGCCACAACTACTGAAGCCCATGCGCCTAGAGCCCATGTTCTGCAACAAGAGAAGCCACCGCAAAGAAAAACCCGCACACCGCAACAAAGAGTAGCCCCGGCTCACCGCAACTAGAGAAAGCCCACGTGCTGCAACGAAGACCCGATGCAGCCAAAAATAAATACATAAAAATAAATTTAATTTAAAAAAATGGTCCACATCAAAAAATCTTAAACAAAAACCAAAAAAACACAGATAAACAACAGGACCTACTGTATAGCACAGGGAACTATACTGGATGTCTTGTAATACCCTATAATGGAAAAGAATCTGAAAAAGTGTATCGAGAGAAAGGGAGAGAGAGCGCGCGCTATCTATATGTGTATAACTGAATCACTTTATTATACACCTGAAGCATTGTTAAGTCAACTATACTTCAATTTAAAAAATTACAAAAATTGAAAAAAAAAAGTAGAGCCTGAAGAAGTGACTGAATTGCTGCAACCTCATGATAAAATTTGAAGGATGAGGAGTTGCGTCTCGTGTCTGAGCAAAGGATGTGGTTTCTTGAGATTGAACATACTCCTTATGAAGATGCCAGGAAGACTGTTGAAATGACAACAAAGGATTTAGACTATTACATAAACTTAATTGATAAAGCAGCAGCAGGGTTTGAAAAGACTGACTCCAGTTTTGAAAGTTCTACTGTGGGTAAAATGCTATCAGCCGGCATTGCAGGCTACAGAGAGAGGATTTGTGAAAGGAAGATACAGCAGACTTCATTGCTGTAATGTTTTAAGAAAAGGCCACAGCCCCCCAGCCTTCAGCAACCTCCACTCTGGTCAGTCAGCAGCCATCAACACTGAGGGAAGACCCTCCACCAGCAAAAAGATTACGAATCTCTGAAGGCTTAGGTGATGGTTAGCATTTTTAGCCATGAAGTAGTTTTTTTTTTTTAAGGTTTTTTGTTTTTTATTTTATTTATTTATTTTTGGCTGCATTGGGTCTTTGCCGCTGTGCGCAGGCTTCCTCTAGTTGCAGAAAGCAGGGGTTACTCTTCATTGCGGTGCACGGGCCTCTCATTGTGGTATCCTCTCCCGTTGCGGAGCACGGGCTCTAGAGCGCAGGCTCAGCAGTCATGGCGCACGGGCCTAGACGCTCCACGGCATGTGGGATCTTCCCAGACCAGGGCTCGAACCCATGTCCCCTGCATTGGCAGGCAGATTCCCAACCACTGCGCCACCAGGGAAGCCCCAATAAAGCAGTTTTTCGAATTTTAATAACAGAGCATTTTTTAATTAAGGTATGTACATTTTTTTAGACAATGCTGTTGTACACTTAGTAGACTACAGTATTTATTGTGTAAACATGAAGTTTATATGCATCAGGAAACCGAAACATTCGTGGGACTCGCTTTCCTGCAATATCCACTTTCTAGCAGTGGTATGAACCCAAACCACAGTCTCCCCAGGTTAGCCTGTATCTCTGGCTGCCTGCTGCACTTCCCTACCCAGCAGAGCCTGTTCTCACCACTTCCAGAAACGAGGGGCATGTTTCTGTCCCGTTTTTCCAAGGGTAACTTTGGTTCCTACTGCTTCTGAGTCCGATGCTGAGTCACTGTTTTTAAATAAGAGCCCCATAACAAACCTCCAGCAAGTCACAAAAGCTTGTGGCTGGTGACCACACATATAAGCAGAAAACCATTACCTGGGGGAATCTACACATCTGCTTGTTGTAAGCAAATCAAAGTCACTTTACGTACAGCAAAAACTAACACAACATTGTAAAGCAACTATACTGCAATGAAATTGTTTTTAAAAAGTCACTTTACATAAAGCTCTTCCGTAACTCAATCTGTTGAGAAAATGAAGCTCTAACTTACCTATCAATGAACTGGAAAGGTCAATGTGGGCCCCAGGACCATCATAATCAATCAACCGGTTGAGACACAGCTGTTTACCGGGAGGACCTTCTACCTAGAAACCAAACACCAAGCACTCCATTTTAAAATTCAAGCCATGTCCTGAAAACACCCAGAGCGTCCACAGTGCTTGCCTACTGCACTATTCCCAAATATTCCGAGGGAAAGAAGCATTTTAAAAGGTGAAACTTACTGAAGCCTTTGAGAACTACCAGATTCCTCTCCGGACTGTTTTACCTCCAAATAGATACGTGCTCCCGGTTACTTTTCTCACCTGGACAGCAAACTTAGTGCGTGCTTCTCCCAGATACTCACGAGGCTTGCCAGGTGTCTTTCATGAAGATGATGCTCGGCTGGGCTCAAAATCCCCAAACCCAAATGTGCTGGCAAAGGCGCAACCAACTTCCACTCACCTCCAGCACAAGGTCACCCAGGTTTAGGTGGCCCCTCAGGAGGCGCAGAGCCGACTCCCTGACCTTCTGCTCACCTTCGGGACCCAATTTCTGCCTCTTGACCCTTCCCGCTAGGGGAGAAAATCAGTTTCAAAAAATTACAGCACTCTTTAAAAACTCAAGCAAGGAAACACCGTGACACCCTGTACCCCTGGAGGTGACGCACCCGGGAATGTCACTTCCATGGGATTCCTGTCAAAACCACACAAGCTTAATCTAATCCTGAGACACATCCAACTGAGGGACACTCCTCCAAACATCCAGGTCGGGAAGACTCAGGAACTGTCACCCTCTGGAGGAGACCAAGTTGACGGGAGTAACTGCCACGCGGGAGACTGGTCCGAAAAAGGGCATTATGGGGAAAACTGGTGAAACCCGAGTAAAGTGTAGTATCGCTGGCAGGATGGTACCAACGCTCGTTTCCCGGGATTGATCTTTTCAAAGAGGTTACGCGACGCTGGGGCTACGCGGAGCTGAACAGTTACTGTCATCCAGGCTACTGGGGGCGGGGGGCAGTGAATCTTAACTCCCTACCTTCTGGAAACACCCCTCTTGGCCACTCGTTGGACAGAGTGGACAGAGGGCTGCCAGGAGGGGACAGCTCGGGGTGGGCGTGGGGGAGGAGGAGGGCGGGGGGGGTGAGGCGGGACGGGCGGGGATGAGGTGGGGACAGGCCGGGCACCGGGATGAGCGGGGGACGGGCGGGGGTCGGCGTGAGGCGGGGACAGGCCGGGAGTCGGGGGTGAGCGGGGGACGGGCCGGGGGTCAGGGTGGGGGGGGACGGGTGGGGGTCGAAGTCAGCGGGGGACGGGAGGGGGTCGAGGTGAGGGGGGGACGGGCCGCGATCGGGCGCAGTGGGGGGGGACGGGGACGGGCCGAAGGAGGCTGGGGCAGGAAGGGGTCTTGGGGCCCCGCGCCCACCTACCCAGCAGCTCGACCCAGGCCCGCCTGCAGCCCCCGTGCCCCGGGTCCGAGGCAGCGCCCCGCGCCTGGGAGGCCGACATGTCGCGAACGAGCCACGGGCGACGTCTCTCGGCTTCTGGCCCGCGTTTCCTTCCCATTGGCCGCGGACAGGCGCGCGCGCCCATTGGCTGCCAGCTGCCCGGCCGCACCCTTCAGGGCGGAGCCTCGGTAGCCATCTTGGTGGCGCCGCACGGCGGCCATCTTGGTGGTGGCGGGAGCGCGGTATGACTGACGCCTGGGCCAGGTAGGTAGCACTGACGTTGGAGGTTTGCGGTGCTGATTCAAACGGCGTCACGGGCGAGAACACTGTGCCATCCCTTGTGCGTTAGTCCTGTCGAGATGACCCAGAGCTGGGCATGAAGAAGCAATCCGACAAACCCAAATCCAGGGAGACGCTAAAACCGCGCTGCCAGTTGGAAACCGTGTAGGACGAGTCTGCGCCCTCGTCTCCCGCGGAACCCGGGGCGGCGGTGTTACTGCGGAGCTGAGGCTTGCTCTGCCTTGACTTCAATTAAGTGTAAACGAGAGGCCGCCTGGTCGACAGCGCCGCTCACCCCGGCCGAGCACAGCCAGGGGTCGCACCCACAGGGGTCACACCCACAGGGGTCACACACAGGAAGTCCTTTCCAGCCCCTCTCCCCTCTCTGGAGGATGAGGGGGAAGGAGGGCTGAAAATCCCAGGCTTGTAAGCATGGCTTGGCCTTTCTGGCCTTCAGCCCCTGTGCCGGAGCCAACCAGGAGCCCACCCAGTGTCCACCTGTTAGAGAAAAAGATGCTCCTAGCATTCTTCCCACTTAGGAATTTACAGGGGTTTCACGGGGTCTGTGCCACGATAGGCACAGAGACCGACATTCATTTCTGTTATCTCACAATCACTGTGCAGCCCCGTGTCTCAGTGTCCGGGTTTTCACACAACATGGTCCCATCGGCCGTGAAGACCTTGCGGGTGCAGGATGCCCTCAAAGAGCACCACTGCCACCTCCTGAACTGCTTCCACGTGGCTGGAAACTCCAAGTTTTCAAGTTTGCATGCACGCCATGACCACCCTGCATAACTGCTGCTGCCCAACCCAGGGTGGGGGCTGCTAAACTTGCGTAAACAAGGGTCCACTGGAGGTGGACCTTGGGGATTGCAAAAAGCGGCCACGAGTCCTCCCCCCCATCTCCGTCCCTTCCGTTTGGGCTGGTAATGACACAGGAGTGACGTGACACAAACAGGAGTTTGAAAAGAGATGGTGCTGAGAGCCAGGTACCTCCAAGGAACACACGTGAGCGAGCCTGCTGAGGACCACCCACGTGGAGGAGAGGTGGCCGCCCAGCCAGCAGTCCCATGCCCTGGCCAGCAGCCTGCCTGCTGCCAGACCTGGAAATTAGGCCATCACAGGCCGTCCAGCTGCTGAGTACCCAGCAGTGAGGTAAACAAGGGGAAGAGGCTGGCTGAGACCAGAGCTGCCAGAGACCACACGGCTGCACACTAAGCAGCAGCTTAGGAGGGGAGGGGAGTACCCACGTGGCCTTGTAAGCGCTGTGAAGCCCTCGGCCTCCGCGCCAAGGGAGCAGGGCCCTGGCGGGTGCACATCACGAGCTATGCAGCTGGTTGAAAAGAGACTGTAGGGAGGCAAAGGCAGGGCACAGAGGCCAGGGGGATGGCCTCAGGCCATTATTGGGCAACGGACAGGGGGCGTGACCAGCGCGGGGGTCATGAGATGGAGAGAAGTGATGAGCTCGGTTCCTACTTCGAAGGTTGATCTGCCAGGTGAGGAAGAAGTGCAGAGTTTTCTAACCCGAGCCATTGGGAGGGCAGAGATACACATCATACAAACATACATCATATACACATACACATGCATCACACACATATATCATACATACACACACCATACATGCCTCATACACACACACATACAAACATACATCATATACACATGCATCTCACACACATATATACCATACATACACACACCATAATGCATCATACATACATACAAACATGCATCATACACACACATATACCATACATACACACATCATACACACACGCATCATACACATGCACCATATACACATGCATCGTACACACGTCATACACACACATATACACACATCATGCATACATCAGATACACATGCACGTATCATTCACACATGTCATATGCACACATACATTGCACCCACATGCATCATACAAACATACGTCATGCATACATACACTGTACACACACATCATGTACATACATCCACATATCATATACCCATGCATACATCATATATACACGTGCATCATATACGTACACACACGCCTCACCTGAGAGGTGGAGACACTGGGAGGACGGTTTGAGAGGCAATAACAGGAGGGGCTCAGAGTTCAAGCGTGAGTGTGTCAGATTCAAGATGCCAGACCCCTGGATGGGGCTGCCGGGGGAAGTAGGTCATAGAAGCTTCAACACACACGTACGTACATACACCCACACACGCGTACACACGCCCCAGGCACACCAGAGCTATCCCCTCCTGCCCATCATCGCAGTCCTCATCCTTCTGCTTCAAAGAACGATGAAAAGCAGCTATTTGAAGCACATCGAACATGCCATTGTCATGACCTGCGTGCCTCCTGTGCCGGGTGAGACCTTCTATCAGAAATCGGCCATAGCTCAGTGTTTCCAAAACATCGCTCGTGCATGTGCCTTCCCAGCGCCCACTGATAATCAGCATTATTTAGGGACTATTTTCCGTTACATTTAATCACTTCTTAAAAACCAAAATCTAATTTAAAAGAAAACTGTATGTGCCAATATAAATGGAAATCCATTATTCTCCTGTATCATAAACTAAATATGAAACAACTTAAAGAAATCTGTTTAAAATTTGCCTTTGTTTCACCTGAAATCACCTCGCGAATTTAACTTGCATCTAGGATGTGGAAAGCTTCAAAGACCATCGCTGAGGCTGCATTGGGACAACAGAAAACACCGCTCCCATCACCACCAAGCTAACAAGTGCTGAGTGATAGTAACAGCAGCCACCACTCCGGGTGAGGCCAAAGTGTGCAGAGACAAGGAAGGCTGTCAGCGGAGAGTGGGCAGCTGCACTGAGAAAACCCCTCAGCAGCATCCCTCATCCCCACCATAAGCACAGGGCAGGGCTGGAGGAGTCTCGTGTGGAAGGTGGCCACAGCACACTGAAACACAGATCCAGCTCAACGCCAGACCAGACTGACTCACCCCCCCCACCCCACTAATGACCGAGCAGAGAAGGAGGCATGAACACTACCTCAGACTCTCCTGGCCCACACACGATGTTGGGCATGCAATCAAAAATTACGAGACAGACAAAAGAAGCAAGAGAAAAAAAATCAACCCATCCCTAAAAGGCAAGGTAGGTAACAGAACCAAACCCAGATGTGGCCCAGATGTTGGAACAGTCACACAGGGAATTTTAAGTAACTATGGTTCATATGCTAAAGTCTCTGGTGGAAAAGGTGGGCAACGTGCATGAAGGAATGAGGAGATTCAGCAGACACGTGAAAAGTATGAGAGAGAAAAACATGGTCACAGAGATAAAGAGTGCCTTCAATGGCTCATCAGTGGGCTCAACACAGGTGAGGAGAAATAAAAATTACTCTAACAGGAAAATAAAGAGGAACTTAAGAAAAAAAAAGAGCACCGGGCTTCCCTGGTGGCGCAGTGGTTGAGAGTCCGCCTGCCGATGCAGGGGACACGGGTTCGTGCCCCGGTCCGGGAGGATCCCACATGCCGCGGAGTGGCTGGGCCCGTGAGCCATGGCCGCTGAGCCTGCGCGTCCGGAGCCTGCGCTCCGCAGTGGGAGAGGCCACAACAGTGAGAGGCCCACGTACCGCAAAAAAAAAAAAAAAAAAGCACCTAAGAGCTGTGGGATACTACCAAATGGTATGACATACATGTCATAGGACTCCCGAAAAAAGAAGAAAGAGAAAACAATGCAGAAAAAATATTTGCGAGGTAATGGCCAAGAATGTTCCCAAAATAATGAGACAGCAAACACCAGATCTAAGAAGTTCAGAAGACACAAAACAGGATAAACATGGGATGAAACACACACACACACACACACACACACACACACACACACGGACACACGCACCCCATATTCAAACTGCTGAAACCAAAGAAATAGAGTCCTGAAGGCAGCTAGAAAACAAAGGTGCCTTAAATGCAGAATAACAAAGATAAGAATTACAGCAGATTCCTCTCGAGAAACTATGCAAACAGAAGACAACAAAGCGACATATTTAAAGGGTTGAGGGGGAAAATCAACCCACATTTCTATACCTAGCAAAGACATCTTTTTAAAAATAAAAAGCAAAATAAAGACTTTTCAGACGTGAACAAGTTTATCACCAGACCTGCATTAGAATAAATATTCAAGAAAGCTCTCCAGTCAGAAGGAATGTATCAGACGCCTGGATCTACACACAGACGAATACAGTGAAGGTAAATATCAATCACTCTAAAAGGTAATTGTCTGTTTCAAGCAAAAACAGTAGCACTGAATTGCAGGTTTATTGCGTATGTAAAAATAAAATGTATGCCAGTGCTAGCCCAGAGGATTGGACACAAGAACTGGAAGTGAACAGTCGTAAGGGTCATGGAACGTATCAATTGTGGCAGTGGTTATATGACTGTGTTTGTCAAAAATCATTAACATATACATTAAAAGGGGTGAATTTTACTGTCTGTACATTATACTTCAATTAAAAATTTAACTCTCATGGGGGAATCACTGAAGGTGGCAGAGCAGGAAGACCCTGAACTCACCTCCTCCCAAAGGCACTCCAAAATTACAACTATTTACAGAGCAGCTATTGATGAAAAAGACTGAGCCACTAGAAAACATCTTCCACGACTAAGACATAAAGAAGGAACTTCAACGATGGGTAGTCACGCGGGGTTGTGGGTTAGCCAAGACCCATATCCCCAGGTGGGCAACCCACAAATGGGAGGATAATTACAACCGCAGAGGTTCTCCCTAAGGAGCGAGGGAGCCCCACATCGGGCTCCCCAGTCCAAGGGTCTATACCGGGAAGACAAAACCCCAGAGCATTTGGCTTTAAAGGCCAGCAGGGCTTATTCTGGGAGAGCCAGAGGGCAGTGGGAAAGAGAGGCTCCACTCTTAAAGAGCTCACACAAAACCTCGCACGCTCCAGGATCCAGGGCAGAAGCTGTAATTTGAAAGGAGCCTGGGTCAGACCCACTGGCTGAGCTTGGAGAGCCTCCCGCAGAGGCGGGAGGCACCTACAGCTCACCCAGGGGACACAGACCGCTGGCTGCGGTCACTGTGGGAGCTCATTCTACCATGTAGGCTCTGGTCCTGGTAGATGCCATTGTGGAATCCTCCTCTAGCTTATTAGCCTCAGGACCCAGCCCCACCTGGGCCCACCAGCCCGTAGGAACCAATACTGGCCAAGCAGCTATCTAGGCAGGGACGCGGCTCCATCCACCAGCAGACAGGCTGCCTT